CATTAAATCCTCATCAGGTTCCATGCAACATAGTCAGATCCTGAGCAATGATGTTACTCATAGCTCGAGTATGAATAACTAGATTATGTACCTAGAGTGTGTAGTTTGAGGTGCTCCATGGCATCTGGAAACATTCCTGACATGTACATTCACTTCCTGGCTGGGTGAGCACTGAGCAGAATGAAAAGTTACGGCTTTCCATTTTTGGGGAATGCCAGATCTTGAGTTAGCAACAGAAATTTACTAAACCTGTATCAAACCTGCTATTTATACTTATGTTTCCTGACAGTAGTCACTCAGTTTCTTCTGAGAAGAGAATACTTTCCCAGCGGTCACATGGAAGAGCTCTAGTAAGAACAAAATCACCACCACTCAGTCCTCCACTTCAGAGTTTACAGTAAAGGAGCACCTTGGGTGGCTGTCCCTTAAGCATCTGCCTTCGGCTCAGGTCATGATCCTAGGGTCCTGGGATCGAGCCCCGCATCGGGCTCCTTGCTTGGCGGGAAGCCTGCTTCTCCTTCTCCTACTCCCCCTGCTTGTGTTCCCTCTCTCTCTGTCAAATAAATAAATAAAATCTTAAAAAGTTTACAGTATAATAGTAGAGCGGGAAAAAGAGATGTTGAAAGATATAATACATATGAAGACTCAAATTCATTCAAAAACATAGAAAAGGACATAGAAATATGTCAGTTAATACTGTCCTAGGGGAAAAATGCCATTTTTCCAAAATGTCATATGTATGTGCAAGTACTGGACCGAGTTTTATTTTTCTTTTGCTGCTTCTGATTGGCCCCTTAAATTAAATGCCTCATAGGTTTTCATGTTTCTCTAATAACTCATTTCCCCACTATGGATGTTTTACTGACCTTACCTCATCAGTGTCTCTCTCCTGGTGTGGCCTCTGAGTGTGTCGGCAGGGGCTGTATAATATTTTGTGTGTGCTTGCCACGTAATGGTAAATAGAAACAGCTGGAGGTTGTTCGGTCAGTTCTGGAGGGGGAGCCTCTCTGCATCCCGGGTCATTGAGAGCTGTTGATAGTCATGACCTGAGGGAGGGTGTCATGGTGCAGTTAACACTCAGATTATTGGAAGATGAAATGACCAACGCAGCTTAGGCAAGATGATAAGCTTTGCTTACATAAACTGGGTCATTAACTGAATTACATTTAGGTACTAAGGCTTTGCCTGTGGTCACAGGGAAGTGTCGGTAAGACTGTAGAAATTCAGCCCCTAATCAGTTCCCCACATATGAGAGCTCTCAACCTAATGGTAGAGAAAAGGCACAAATGTGGAAGACAGAGGAATTGATACACCTAAGGTTGAATTAACTTTATTTGTAGTCTCAATGGTAGAATATAACTCTAATAATAGTTTACATATTTGTAACAAGATCAAAATTCTGCAGGTTCAAAAAAAAATCCTACAGATAATCTTTCCTCACTCTACAGAGACACTTTGGAAATTTAGGAACACTTGGGTTGCAAAATCAGATGAGAAGTATTTCGTGAAATATGGTTAGTGAGGAAGAAGGCATTGAACTGTCTTAGGGTTTTGCCTAACAGCCACTAGAATCATTTTGCCTTTTTTTTTAAGATTTTATTTATTTATTTGACAGAGAGAGAAGCAGGGGGAGGGGCAGGCAGAGGGGGAGGGAGAAGCAGGCTCCCCATTGAGCAGAGAGCCAGACATGGGGCTCCATCTGAGGACCCTGGGATCAGAACCCAAGCCAAAGGCAGACGCTTAACCGACTGAGCCATCCACGTGCCTCAGAATCATTTTGCTTTTTGCAGGGTTGCATATGTAGCTCACTCTCCTTAGCTTTGGCCCTTGTCAGATACTAAGGCAAAAAGAAAATGACAAGAGGGCTAAGGTTGCTGGTCATGTGTTAGTAAAAATACCTGACTTCTTCCCCGAGACAGGTCAGGTGTTCAGGGTAGTCATTGAAACTATAGCATTTGGACTTTATTCTTTCATAGGAAGTACTTGACCAGCAAGCTGAAATTCTTATGGTTTGAACTGTGAGTGTTCTGGCAGTATATCCCAAATAATTATGAGAAAGAGAAGTTCCCATTTCAGAATTGGTGCTAGATTTGAAGATATACCCTATATGTCTAAATGTAAAACGACCCTGAGTATAAAAATAATCTTCTTTGCCAAAGATAAAAATTATCCACACTCCACCCCCCCCCCCAATTTTTTTTTCCTTTGGCCAACATAAGCATGTACTTTGTACCAGGAATCATTCTACGTTCTGGGATAAAAGGAAAAAATGAAACAAAACAAAACAAAAAACTCCACAAAAGACAGAAATCACTGCCCTCTTAGGTCCTACATTCTGGTAAATAAATTATACAGGATGTTAAAAGAGGTTAAGTGCTACAGAGAGTTATGAAGTAGGGAAAAAAAATCCAGGGAATGCTGGCTCTGTGTGTGTGTGTGTGTGTGTGTGTGTGTGTGTGTGTGTGTTTTGGGGTGGGGGGCACGTGCTGCCTCACAAGGTGGCCTTAGAGCATGGATTGAATGGAATGAGGGAGTGAGCCATGCAGTGAACTGGGAGAGGAGCATGGAGCGTAGAGCCATTAAGGGAGGAGTGTGAGGGGCATGCTCTGGGAATAGCTAGGAAGCCAGTATGGCGCCAACAGAATGAGAGGGAGTTCAGGAGTAAGGTCATGGGAAATGGTGTTGGGATGAAAAGATGAAAATCTAGGTTGACTAGAGGTTGTATGGAGGACATGTAGCCACAGGGCATATTTAATGTACACATGTCATATGTAGATGGCGTGGGCCCTTAGGGCATTGTAAGGATCTTTTATTCTTAATGAAATGGGCAGCTTGGAGGATTTATAGGTGAGTAACATGACATTTGTTGAGGAAAGATTCTACTTCAGTTTAAAAAGGATCCTTCTGGCTTTTGAGAGTAGACTGAAGGGGGCAAGGGACACCAGTTAAAAGATTAGTGCAGTAAACCAAGTGAGAGATGACAATTTGTATTCTATTGTATGAATGTACCACATTTTATGTTTGCTTTTTTTCATCAGTTTAGTGAGATATAATTGACATTCAAGGTTGTATTAGGTCAAGATGTACAATATAATGATTTGATACATGTATATGTTGGAAAATGACTGACAAACTCAGTTTAACATCACATAGTTACAGGTTTTTTTTCTTGCGATGAGAGCTTTTAAGACCTACTTGCTTATGTAGTAGTATTAATTATAGTCACCCTGCTGTACATGACATCCCCAGAACTTAACCTATAACTAGAAGTTTGTACCTTTTGACCATTCCCAGCATCCCCCTTACCTCCTTTGCCCCTGGCAACCACCAATCTGTTTTCTCTATGAGTTCAGTTTTTAAAAATTCCACATATGAGATCACGCAGTATTTGTCTTTCTCTTTCTGATTTACTTCACTTAGCACGATGCTATTGAGGTCCATTCATGTTGCAAATGGCAGGTTTCCTTTTCTGTGGCTAAATAATATTCCATTGTATACTTATATCTATATCTGTATATCATATTGTTTTAATCTATTCATTGTGGAGGGACACTGAGGTTGTCTCCATGTCTTGGCTATTGTTAACAATGTTGCAGTGAGATAGTAATTTTGTGGGTTTTTTTTGGATATATACCCAGAAGTGGAATTGCTGGATCATATGATAGTTCTATTTTTAATATCTTTTTTTTTAAAAAGATTTATTTATTTATTTGAGAGAGAGAGAGAGAGCACAAGCAGGGGTAGAGGCAGAAGGAGAGAGAGAAGCAGACTCCCCAGCTGAGCTGGGAGCCCAACGTGGGGCTCGATCCCAGGACCTGAAGATCATGACCTGAGCTGAAGGCAGATGCTTAACCATCTGAGCCACCCATATCTTGAGGAAATGCCATACTATTTCCCATACTAACTGCACCAGTTTATGTTCCCACTGACACAACGTGTGGATTCCGTTTTTTCGTACATCTTTGCCAGTACTTACCTCTGGTCTTTTTTGATGATAACTGTCTGGTAAGATGATATATCTCACTGTGGTTTTGATTTGCATTTCTCTGGTGGTTAGTGAGTATTCACTTGTTGATGCACATTTGGGTTGGTTGTTTTGGGTATTGTGACTCAAGCTTCTATGAATATTTGTGGACTAGCTTTTGTGTGGATTATGTGTTTTCAGGGCTGTTAGCAAATCTCTAGGGGTGGAATTACTGGGTCATGAGATAGGTCTATGCTTACCTCCAGAGAAACTCCCAAAAGATTTTCTAAGGTGGTTTTGCCATTTCACATCTCTGCATACAATGTACAAGAGTTCCAGTTGCTCTACATCCCAGCGGGACTTTTCTCTTTTTGATGTTAGCCATTCTAATAGGTGTGTAATGGTATCTTACTATGGTTTTCATTTGCATTTTTTCTGAAGGCTAATGCAGATGAGGAGTGTCTGGGCCTTAATCTCTTTATCCAGAAAGCTTATTTTATCCCCATTGTTGGAACTTTGGTTCCTTTCAGCTGAGACTTATAATCACTTTTATTTTTTGCATTTATTTCTTTTTTCAGTCCTGGTTGATGTGTGTTAGTGTCTACTTTTTTTAATCTTAATTTTTCTAAGACCTCTGATCCCTTCGAATAACTTTTCAAAGTACTGAAAGGATATATTATGATTTATTAAAGGTTGGCAGTGGCCTATTTAGTCTCACAGTTTTGTTTTTGGGAAACCTATGCATTTAAAATGGGAAAGTATAATACTGATATTAAATTTCTATCTTACCTTTAAGTCATTGATGTCCAACAGTGTAACTTAAGTTTATGCTTTATCCTATATGGGGTGTGACTATTACTTTCTATACCTTATTTAGGATGAGAATGCATTCCGTGTCTAAGTAAACATCACTACATCAAAAACTAATGATGTATTGTATGGTGACTAACATAACATAACAAAATAAAATAAAGTAAGATAAAAATAAATTCTCTAAATATTCAACTGAAATGCGGATTTTTCAATTGTTTTCCAGGTTCCGGATGTGATCAGCAGCATAAGGCAGTTATCCAAAGCTGCCATGAAAGAGGATGCCAAAGCCAGCAAAGACAGCGAGGATGCCTTTTACAACTCTCAGAAGTTCGAAGTCTTGTACTGCGGGAAGGTGACGGTGACCCACAAGAAGGCCCCGTCGAGCCTCATCGATGACTGCATTGAGAAGTTCAGCCTGCACGAGCAGCAGCGCCTGAGGATCCAGGGCGAGCAGCGCGGCGCGGATGCGGGCGACGACCCGGTGGACTTCGAGGCCGCGGCGCCCGGCCCAGCCGCCGACATCCTGTCCGAGGAAGGGGACGGCGTCCCCAACACCCAGCCTGCCTTACCGGCCGCGGCCAGCCAGCTGGGGCTGCCCAGCTCTCGAGCTGGCTTCCCGGAGCGGATTCTGGAAGATTCTGGCTTTGACGAACAGCAGGAGTTCCGGTCTCGGTGCAGCAGCGTCACCGGAGTCTTGCAAAGGAAAGTTCACGAGAACAGCCAAAAACCACCGCCGCGAAGGAGGCACGCCAGTGCGCCAAGTCACGTACAGCCGTCGGATTCGGAGAAGAACAGGACGATGCTGTTCCAGGTGCGGCCGGGCGGGGCGCTGGCTGGGGGCCTCGGCACGCAGGGCTCGCTAGCCAGCCGGCGCCGCCCGGCCGCACTCTGCACTGCTCCAGCTTTCACTCCTCCCGGGGCAAGCAGGGAAGGCGGGTGGAGAGCAGAGCAAAGGAAAATGCGGAAGTAGAGAAGGACCCAGAGGCAGACACGGAATGTGGATTTTAGGAAGTGAGGGAACAGGGCCGGGAGAGATGGAGGATGAAGCGATTAAATAGATGACCCTTCATGTCACCAGCATTTGCCTTAGGTTGATTCTTAAATAGATGTTGTGTCTTGCAGAGGATTTAAAGATGGGAATAATCTGGGAAAGTGTGATAGGCATGGAGGAGAAAGAGAAAGTTTTCTTTAGAGAAGGAAAAGTCTAGAGACTCCTAGGTGTATTTTCAGATGATGTTACCCAAAAAAGAAAGTTAAAAAAATACCATGGGACTGACAACTTACTGGATCCGTTGCTAAAATAACGGGGTGCAAGCTGTATTATAGGTGTAAAAGGTGTAACTTTTTTTTTAATGATTTTATTTTATTATGTTGTGTTAGTCACCATACAGTACATCATTAGTGTTTGATGTAGTGTTCCATGATTCATTGTTTGTGCATAACACCCAGTGCTCCATGCAGAACGTGCCCTCCTTAATACCCAGAAAAGATGTTTCTTAATTAAAAAGTAGTTTTTGAGTTTGTACAGGATATAGAAAATGGCAAGTTCCGCCTAAAAGAACTTAAGTCAAAACAATGCCCTGGAGAGGTTTTCTAAGTCCTCAGCTTGTAAGATCTGAGTTTTCTTGGAAAAAAAAACAAAAAAAAAACAACAAAAAAAACTGAGCGACTGTCCTTTTATCCTGTGGTAAAGAACCCTTGAGTAGGAAATTCCACAGCATACCTTGATAAATAGTCCCAGTGTGTAATACTTGCTTATCAGAAGTTCGTGGGTTCTTTTGTTTTGTCCTGTTTTGTTTTTGATAACTCTAGGCATGTAATGAAAGTTATCCATAGTCTTTTCTTGGGCGATACGTTGACTGAGCTTCCTCTCTTTTTGAGGCTCTCAGATGTATTCATTTTCTTAGCTAGCCACCGTAATTGATGTTAATTTCCCTGGCTGTGGATTTTCAAAAAGTTTAATTTGCTCAAGTGCAGATATCTTTTTGTTGACCATTTGGGAGGAAGTATGATTATAAATTATGGTTAAATAATTGGTGTTTTTAGAAATCACGAAGGGAGGAAAGCTTGCATGTTTTTAAAAAGATGATCATTTTTAATGAACAGAATGGTTTCTTGTATCTTGTAAATTGAGATCAACTTAATTTTCATGATTTTTAGACAAAAGGAGGAATTGTGTTGAGGTAGCCGATATTTGGAGTTGAATATACTGGTTGGATTGGATGTTGAAGCACATTGGATGTTGAAGAATATAGCAATTAAATCTGTATTACTAGTTGGATATGTAATTGTAAAGTAAGTTGTTAGATCCTTAACTGGAATGTTTTTATTTTTAAGGTTGGGCGGTTTGAGATTAACCTTATCAGTCCAGACACCAAATCAGTTGTGCTTGAAAAGAATTTTAAAGATATCTCTTCTTGTTCTCAGGTACGTAGTAAAGTACGTCATAATGTTTGACGAAACCAACTTAATCTTGTTTTTAAATTAACCACAAAACAACTTCATATTTTACTATTTTTTTATTTTAATTTTTTTTGAGTGGGTTTGTCTTAAATAAGAGTGCTTCTACAAGTGCTTGTATCTCTACTAGTAACAAAATCCTGTCCAGGTCCCGCAATATCCTAATAGTTGGTCCTCATTTTTATCACCCTTTCTTCTCGTAATGTCACTTCATCAAATTCTGTCCTCTGGTGGAATTTTTGTGGTGGTGAGTTCTTTTGAAAATACCTTCACAGTTAGTTGTCCTCAGTCTTGGGCAGTGGGACTCGTGGGTATTACTGAGTCATGTTCGCTCTTTATGCCGCAGTAGGTAGTAAAAGGAGAACTAGCACTTTCCACTTCTTTGAATGTAAATGTTAACGTTTGAGAAGAAAGTGTTGGTATATTTTTGTTCTTTGGTTTAGTTTTAATTCACATACTGTGTATTTGAATGCTTGGAAATTATTGATACAGCTAAATGTGTACAAGGTCACAGTAGACATAAACCAGTGTCCTAAGTACTACAGTAATAATTTAGAATATCTATCCCAAAGTTAGAGCCACCTAAGTATATTGTAAACATAGAAAAAATTTTTGAAGATGTTGGAGTAGAGAGAGTATCTAAATCTAAATATGGGAACGTTAAGGATGCAAGGATACCTCTGTGGAAGTCTCTGGAATAGGGAAAGATTAACTTCTTTCCTAGCAGAGTGACTTGGAGGCACCTTTAGGGACCCAGATCTTGCCAAGGTCCTCTTCTGTATTTTAATGTTGAAAAACCAAGACTATCTATCTATTTTTAAATTTCAGAGTTAGCGTTGCCCTAGGGATAATGTTCAGACGTTCTGCCTTTCAGAAATGATGAGCTTTTGTACCTCTTGTTAATTATTCACCTTAGCCTCAGCTAATGCCTTTTCACTTCTAATATTTTAATATTTGTTCTATTAATGGTGACATAAAATTATGTCATGAATATAAAAGCTTTCTACTGTAATAACAGAGAGAGAGGTAGCATCTGGTTATAGGAATGATAAATGGCAATTTTCTAAATTCCTGTTTAAAGGACCAAAAATTGGGTAGAAAGATTATATCACTTGAACTGAAAAAGTAGTTATTAAGTCTTCTTGTAATTATCTGTTTACTGGCCAGTCCCTGCAAGATCATAAGTTTTGTGAAGGCAGGCATCAGATTTTGTGGTGTCTCATTCTGTAGGGCATCAGAATAAAAATGTTAAGATAGAGCTTAATACTTAGGTGTTCAGTAAATGTTGAATGAACATTTCTATGTGTGGGACCTTGTTTCAAGTACAGAGGAGAAAGTGATGTGCAAACCAGTGTAGTTCCTGCCCCCCAAAACACAAAGGGTCATCCTAAGAAGTTGTGCCTTTCACCCACACGTTCCTCCAACCTCCCAGGAAGGAAACAGCAATGCTCACTGAACATCCAAAGGAAAAAAAATGAGGAACAAAAAAAAGAAAAAAAGAACCAACCAATCCAAATATATAAAACTGGCAGTTCAATCATGATTTTTGCTTTTTCCCCTCTTTTTTTTTTAAAGCGAGGATGCAGAGAAAGGGGAACCCTCTTGCACTGTTGGTGGAAATGCAAATTTGTGCAGCCAGTCTGGAAAACAGTATGGAGGTTCCTCAAAAAGTTAAAAATAGAACTACCCTATGACCCAGCAATTGTGCTACTAGGTATTTACCCAAAGGATACAAAAATAGTAATTCTAAGGGGCACATGCCTCCCAATGTTTATAGCAGCATTATCAACAATAGCCAAACTATGGAAAGAACCCAAATGTCCATCAACTGATGAATGAATAAAGAAGGTGTGGTACACACACACACACACACACACGCACACACACACGAATATTACTCAGCCATCAAAAAGAATGAAATCTTGCCATTTGCAATGACGTGGATAGAGCTAGAGTGTATTATGCTAAGTGAAGTAAGTCAGTCAGAGAAAGACCAATACCGTATGCTTTCACTCATGTGGAATTTAAGAAACAAAACAGATGAACATTGGGGAAGGATGAAAAAAAAAAAAAGAAACAGGGAAACAAACCATAAAAGACTCTCAATGATAGAGAACAAACTGAGGGTTGCTGGAGGGTGGATGGGTTGGGAGATGACCTAAATGGGTGATGGGGATTAAGGAGGGCATTTGTTGTGATGAGCACTGGGTGTTGTATGTAAGTGATGAATCACTGAATTCTATACCTGAAACCAATTTTACCATATATGTTAACTAACTAGAATTTAAATAAAAACTTGAAATAAAAAAAAAACAAGCTTTGTATCCTAACCTTCTGGTTCAGAAAAATAATTAAACATTTGTGGAGAGGCCTTTGATCAGAATAATTGTCAAGTTAACCTCTGCTCCTCACTGGCCCTGCTCTTACTACTTCTTTCCACAGAATTGAACTGTTATAATGTGGCCACATTTGGCAACAGGCCTACTTTTTAACACATGCACACCAACAGACATTTCTTTATGCAAAATCTATAGGACTGTGTCCCTGGCAAGCATGAGGAGTAAGGGAGTGGTTTTCTTTGCTGGAAACATTGCCACTGTTTGAGGACTCCCTGACCTAATGAGGTCCTATGAATTTTTCCCATTTAGTACTCAGCCAGTAAAAGATATTTTGTTATCACTAAGGAGTTGTACCAGATGGAGCTTACTTTCAGCTCATGAATGGTCATATCACCCCTCCTTACTGACTTTTTACTTTTGGTCAGAAGTGATTTCCTTTATACATATCCGTTGGATCGACTGAGTAAATTACAAGAATAGTGGTTACCACTTATCAAAGTTATGTGCCAGTAACTATAATAGGTAATTCTTAGTTGTAGATTTCAAAAATTGCTGATATAGTTGGCATTACTACTGTTTTCTAAGGAGAAATGGAGCCTCAGAGATCATTACTAGAAACCCAGCACAATGTCTCATACCTTGTAGATGGCTTGAACTAAGAATGAAGCACAAATCTGACTCCAAAGCCCATTTTCTTTTCACTGGGGTTTAGGTGATTGCAGGAAACTGTAAATTTTTTGTCTACCTGGCTTTTTAAAGTACTGTGCTTGCTGTTAAAATAACAAGGTGCTGTCTACTAATTGGTATGTATGTATTCAGCCTGGCTGAAGTTCACAGATGATTCAGATTTTTTTATTAAGTATAGCTGAGGTTATTTAGCCTGCGTTCAGGAAGTATAGTGATTTGTAAATTTGGATAATTGACATCTACAGTAATTTCTTTAATGTATTAGTTTTCTAACAGTTGTGGTTCCTTAAATGTCTCTATATGCACACTTTAGGGAATTGCATGCCATTTAATTAGAGCATCATTAGTTGTAGTTTTTCTGATTCTTAGCTTCATATAGACAAGAGCAGGGTTTATGATAACCCATCAGACTGCTTGTTCCAAGAAGACTAATAAATTGAAAAGTCCATTACTTGCAAACACTAAGTAGCCATTTTATTACAAGAGACAATGAATCGTGCCATCATATTTTTCTTCCTGTGGCCCAGAGTCACGGTGTGCAGGAAACAAACAATCTGAGTTGCTGTTTCCCTTTATTTTGTGTGTCAGAAGACCCCCACATAAGTTTGCTATGACATTATGTCCCCCTATCACCGGGCTGAGAAGGAGAAATTCATGGAAACGTGAAAGCGTCGCACTGATGCCGATTTCCATAGTGTTGAATAAAAGGGCATATTGCAGTAAACACTGTACTTCTTTCCCCCTTGTAGGGTATCAAGCATGTAGATCATTTTGGCTTCATCTGTCGGGAGTCAGCAGAGCCCGGGATGAGCCAGTATATCTGCTATGTGTTCCAATGTGCCAACGAATCTCTGGTAAGTGGTGTGATTGTCCGTGTGCTCCTGCCCGCACCTCCGGCTGAGCCGCACAGAACTGCCACCAGTGGAAAAAGAAGAAGGCATCCAGAAGCAAGTTCCTGCTCTTTAAAGCAGCAGTAGGAAAACAAAAACAAATTGTCATGGTGATTTTTAAGCTTAGATACTTTCTTGAGTCTAACGAATCCGGTCGTGTTATCAGGGCTATTTTTAAAAGGTAGGAAGAGACTAATAAGAGGAGAAGGGCTGTTATTTTTTCCATTGCTCATGTAAGCTGATACGGAGGACCACTGATCTCTTACTCTCTGAGTTATTATAACATCTCAGAGGAGGTAATGCTTCCATCAGCAGAGCAGACGGATTTTGTTTTCTTTCTTTATTTCGTTAGCCACTGTTCTCATTTTAAAAACACTTTATTTTTTAATGGTCTTATTTTAGCCTTCATTTTCTTTCTTTGGAATTTGAAAGTCCCATTCTTCTTTCCAGCACCCTCCCCTCACTCCTTCCTCCTCTCCCTTTATGGCAGCAGTTGGAGTTGAAGAAATATTTAAGGCAGACTTAGAAATGCATGTGAATGACTAAACATAGTTTAATATTTTTCCCTAAAATTTTTTACTTCTTCTTCCACTTGTATTATCCTAACCATTTTAATACAAACCCTTAGCTCTGTCACCATACTTTGAAGAAAAATATTTCCTTGGGCATATAATCCTCTTGCAAGCTTTTCTCCTGGGGAAACACACACCACTTAGACATAGATAACAAGCCAGGCAGCATTCTTCTCATTTCTTTGGTGCCTGTTGCCATCATTTCTGCTCAACTCTGACCTTCCATATTCCCTGTGTAGAAGGGATATGGAAGTGTAGGAATAAGGAAAAAATGGGAGTGAATTGGTACCAAGGCACTTTCCTACTCGGGCCCTCTGGGTCTCAACCTGTTTTCTCTGGGGAATATAGCACTCCCATCACTAACAGTTTCTTTCTTTCTTTCTTTTTTCTTTTCTTTTTTTTTTAAGATTTTATCTATTTATTTGACAGAGAGAGACACAGCGAGAGAGGGAACACAATCAGGGGGGAGCGGGAGAGGGAGAAGTAGGCTTCCCACTGAGCAGGGAGCCCGATGCGGGGCTTGATCCCAGGACCCTGGGATCATGACCTGAGCCAAAGGCTGACGCTTAATGACTGAGCCACCCAGGCATCCCCATCACTAACAGTTCCTTACTCAAGAGAGTTCCATTTGTCTTTCGTTCTCATGCTAGATAATTAACCATACCTAGGAAAAATCCACATGTTGAGATCCAGGTGACCATGGTATTATAGTTTCAGTTCAGGACTCGAGATAAAAATTTGAGAGTTGCTGTTATGTAAATGACAGTTGAAGACATGAGAGCAGATGAGCACAGTCAGGGAGAGAGAGAAAGCCAAAGAGAAGCAGTGACCCAGCACTGGAAAGTACCAACCAAGTAAGACATAGATAGAAAATACCATCAGGAGAACCTGCTGTCCTGCTGCCCGCTCACCCCTCACTCTCTCCTTCCTTCATCCATCTTCTTCGCTAAGGCTGATTCTTTCACTTTCTGGATCCCTTTCCAAAACCTGTCCTATATTCCACATTTTATTTTGGCATCTCCATTTACCCAGCTTCCCAGTTTAGAAATCATAACACATTCTCCCTCACCTTTTTTTTTTTTTAAGATTTTATTTATTTATTTGACAGAGACACAGCGAGAGAGGGAACACAAGCAGGGGGAGTGGGAGAGGGAGAAGCAGGCTTCCCCCTGAGCAGGGAGCCCGATGCGGGGCTCGATCCCAGGACTCTGGGATCATGACCTGAGCTGAAGGCAGATGCTTAACGACTGAGCCACCCAGGCGCCCCTCTCCTTCACCTTCTATATCCATGTGTTCACCAAATCCTGCTAACGAAAAGATAGGAAGGTTTCTTATCCATTTCCCCTCCTTTCCCTCTCTACCTGATTCTGGGCATTCATCTTCCCTGCTTAGACTATCACACAAATGTCCTAACTAGTCTCCCTGCCACTAGCTTAATCTGTCATCTGTCCACTTTCCACATCGTGCTCTAGCTTTATTTCTCACAAAATTTCCAGGAACCAGTTTATGCCGCCTTGTTAAGAGACAAAGTCTAGATTGTGTGGCGTGGCAGAAGGACCTTCCTCCTTTTCTGGTGTCTCCCCCCCACGCCCCCCGGGATGCCTCTCCTTTTCATGACTGCACCCTCACACGGGCTGTCCCATCTCCTCAGCTGGTCTCTAAGGCAGACAGCAGAGGCTGGTGTGACCATTGGTGTGGTGTAGCTTTCCTTTGGTCCACTGCTGAAGCAGCAAGTGGTTCATGCACGGGACGCATGGGATCAAGGATTGAAGGGAGTGGCTGGGGCTGAAGCTCTGAGATCACTGTTGGTTGCACAGAGTGAGGAGTCTGCTGTGTCAGAGGAGGCCAGAGCCAGGGCTCCCACGTTTAGATAGTCAGGCAGAGAAGGTGTCCATGTGGGTCTCAAGGTCTGCCCTGCTGCTGAACAAGGAGATTATGCTGTGTTTTCCTTACCTATTTTTCACATTCTCTTTTCTACTGCTTCATGGGATATGAGGCAGGCCTGGCCTTGCTTTCCTGTGACTTGAATACCCTTCTTTTCTACTTTGTACACATCCTAGTGAAGTCTTTTTGGATGGCTTTTTTTTTTTTTTTTATTTATTGTTTTCTGATGGCTGTGGCTAGGAATTCTAATAATTTGTTGAATGACATTGTTGATGTTTTCTATAAATATCATGTTATCTGCAAACAGAGACAGTTTTACTCTTTCTGTAGTCTTTTTGGATGGCTTTTTTTTTTTTTTTTGGCAGGAATGACTTTTTTTTAGTTGCTTTGTTGTCAGTGCTCTTGCCATATATTGTTTATAGGTCTCTAACGGTTCCTATTAATCCCCACTCTTGCTTGTTTACATAGCTTTCTAGTTCACTAGATTGTGAATCCCACAAGGTCAAGACCGTTCTTATTCTTGTCATACCCCCAGTGTTTCTAGAGTAGCAGGTGCTTGTTAAGTGTATTTTGAGTCAGTGAGTGCGTTACTCTTTAAGAGGAAGACTATATAAAACCTTCTTATTCTCAACCTCATTTACAGGCTTTGTTTTGTTTGTAATTTTTAGTATTTTTTTTTTTTTTTTTACCCTCATACATGTAGAATGAGTTTTTGAAACAAGGAGTTAGAGTTGAAGGTCTGGGAATGTGCTGTATTTTCCACCTTAAGAAGCTCTGTGACTAAGGCAACAGACCAGTGTGGCTGAGAATGTCTTCCTTTTACATGGAAACTGTATCAGAATCTCTGTTTTGGCACTGTTATTTAAGAAGGGCAGGCCTTTGCTAGAATCTTTTAAAACTTGTTGATTCTAGTTTTATCAGTACGCATCTTAACTGAATAGTGGGGCATCAGAAGTGCAAGCTAGAAGAAAAATTAAATGAGATTTCCTGTATAAAAGAGTATGGTTCAAGCAGCTGACATATAGAACAGAACAAAACAGTTAATTAAATATTATAGGTCTAAGCAGTGTTATGATTGATGTGGCTTGGCAGTTGTGTAAGACAAAGTATTGCAAAACCACAAATGCTGACTTACCCTCTCTGCGCAAAAAGAATAGACAGTAGCATTTTCCTTTCCATCTTATCTGCTATGAATTGGTAAACAGTATAGTGTTTTCATGGGTCCTGGAGAATTACACTCCAAGTTTAGACACTCGGTACACCTTCCTTCCTTCCTTTGTAATTCCTTCCTTCCTTTGTAAAATATTTGTTGGCAGTTGGCTTCATCTGGTTTAACCAACCCTTGAGATTTGTGGAAAACACCATTTTTGCATTCTCCAAAATTGGTTCAAAAGGTGTGGGAAAAAAAATGGAAGTTGCTGCTGATAGACAAAGAAAAAGTAAAACCCCAGAGATGCAGACAACAGTATCCAGGAAAAGTAGGAAAAAAGAAAAAAGATGACGACTCGGGCTCCCAAGACGTAGCACTTGTATAGGGTTTAATAGTTTACATTTTTCCAGAGAATTAAACTAGGTAATCCTGTGAAGTCCTTGACGCATTCTGTGATTCTTAGGCTTATTCTTACATGCCATAAAATACCTAAGTTTGGTGCATAAATGTTTAGGAGCATTATCTTCATTATGGATTTTTACATTAATATCATAAGTTGGCTTTCTTTGTTCCATCTCATACTTTTCACTGCAAATTTAATTTTGCCTGATAGTAATGCTAAGAATACTCTCCTTCTGTTTGCATATGATTGATTTATCTTTGTGCATTCCTTTACTTCGAGACTTTTAACATGGCCTATGATTTTTTGTTGTTGTTGTATCTAGAATAAAAAAGTTATTCATACTGCACTAATTTGAACTTTTAGTTGCTCTGATCCCACGATAGAATTTATAGGCCATCTAAAAAAAATGATGTATCTAAAAAAGCAAAACACTTAAAATTTTAGAAGTCAAAGATTTTAGTAATATTTGTGGTTGGAAGAAATTGGTGGCCACATATTAGACGCCGTTGAAAGGGCCTCTTGTTTCATCTAGAAAGAGAGAAGAAAACATGAAAGTTCAGTATTTTCATTGGAGTTCTTTTACAAGGTGGTATTACTAAGTAACAAATAATAAATCCATTTGAAAGCTAAGCAGATAACTAATCCTTTCAGTGCCTTTAACAAATGAGAAACAAGAAAGTAGAAACACATGTATGCATAGTAATTGAAATTATTTTTGAATACATACATAACAAGGCAAATGAAATAAAACTGCAAAGGCATTAAGCATGTAGTGCTTTTATTTTCAAGAATAAGAAATCTTTATTTTTTAATTATAGTTAAAAGAACAGACTATGAATAACCCACTTTTATTTATGGAACAATGTGAAATTATTCATAACCCTTTTAAAAACTTGGTAACATTGTAAAACATAAATGAATAATGACTGGCTGCTTACTGTTTGATCTCTCCTTTTAGTAGTAATATTAGAAGAATAAAGTTTCTTTTCATTTCAGGATCTTCATACACTCACATGCAGAAGTAGATTAAATCCTTTAAATAATAGCTTATTCTTAAACCAGGCTGAAGGGGGAGGGAAAAGAGAGACTTTAAAAAAGGTGGTTTTCAATATCAAAGCTAGCTCCGGTGAGGCCCTTGGTACTCTGCAGCTCCCCATGGAGGTTTGAGACTTTGATCTCAGTTTTACAGCATGGGAAAGCCACAACTTACATTGATGATTGCGTTGCAGAGACATGGCCTGAAGTCGGATTAGCAGTGCATGAGAGTGAGCTGATAGTTGACCCCAGAGAAGCAAGCGGGGAAACTAGACTGCTAGATTCACACTTCTTGATTGAGTCATTGGAAGGGCTAGCGAGAAACCAGCTGGTAGTTTTCAAACTGCTGACCTAGTGGTGAGACCCAGCTGTTGGACAGTATAATGTCAGAACTTCTTAGTATCGCACATCAGAGGTGAAATTAGCAGACATAGAGGTAAGACCAGCAACCTTCACAGATTTCCCTCAACATTCGTTAAATTGAACTCATTGCCTGCCCCCCAGAACTTTGCTTAAACCCGTGTGTTTTTACACTAAAAGTAAAAACACACTAAAAGTAATCCAAAAGGATGAAGTAAATAGGATACCTATTACCAAAAGTGAACATTAAACCTATTCTGTTGCTGCTTATATATTGCAGACAGAACTTCCAAAGAAATCTGCTACACTACTTAATGAAACAAAGATCTGATTGACTGTCCCTTAAACTGTCAGTGATGGTGTCGCACTCAGTGGGATCTAAAAATAGCCTCCAAGTAATCAGTGTTATACACCTGAAAATGGTCTTACTCTATGCAGCTTTCAGTGGATAGTATAATTGAAGGTCTAACGTTACACTTGATATTTTCTCTCTACTAGCTCTGTAATCGTCAAATTCCATTATATATTATTTAGTTAGCATCAACAAAGTCTCATATTGCTGTTGGGCTTTGAATGTGTTACTGTGAAGGCACACGTTTTAGAGATCTGAGTTATGTTTCTTCTCGTAGGTCGATGAGGTAATGCTGACTCTGAAACAGGCCTTCAGCACCGCAGCTGCCCTGCAGAGTGCCAAGACCCAGATTAAGCTGTGTGAGGCCTGCCCTATGCACTCTTTGCATAAGCTCTGTGAAAGGATTGAAGGTACAGTAGAACTTGGTGGGGACGAAAGAAAAGTTTGCTTTGGCATCTGGGAAGTGAGAAAGTCCTTACTCTGGGTGGATGGGTTTTTCTTTCCTGGTGAAACCAGAGCCCAGAGAATCATTTCTCACGTCGAGTCAAATGTGTGTTCTCAGTCTCTCTGAGGTGCTTGCCATTTTCCCCACTTCTTTCTCTTTTTCATTTTTAATTCTTTTTTTTCTGAAGGCAGACTCAAGGAAGGGAGTTAGTTGTATTTCCCACAGTTCTTAAGACTGCTATGTACTTAGTGGGAACTGACCAAATATTTGTTCAGTGGGTGAAGAGAGAATGTCAACTGTTTATTTAAGTCTCTTTTTCTTCCCCTCTCACTTGATGATGTGTTCCTTTTCCCTAAAACTGTGGAAGTGGAATGGACCTTGTGTGGCTTTTGAGGGACATTTGAAAATGAGAGACGTAATGGATGTGATATCATAAAGCAGGTTTTTAAAAAAAAAAAGTGTTCTGAGGAGGGGAAATGAGGAAGAGGTGACTCTATGACTCACATCCGCTTTCTCCTCATTATCTCATTAACCAAAAAAACGGTTGGAAACTACTTCACAGGAGAAGAAATGCAATTCGATAAATACTTGTTAAGCATCTGCTAGGGGCCAAGCGTTGTACTAGGTACTGGCAGTACAGAAGTGATTGAGATGTGGGCCGTGCCTTCAGAAGCTTACTACCCAGAGTGGAAGACAGGCGCATGAGCCAGTTAATGCAATTCAGGATGATAGCTGTTAGGATACCTGGGGGGAGTGCAAGTGCCAGAACATGGCAGAGAATGGTCTCATCATTGTAAATGCAAAAATTGTGATTTCCAGAAATCACAATTTTTGGATCATAGGCACAGGGCAAAAAACAGCAGTGTTTACTGAATATCCATTCAGCTGTGTGATTGAGGACTATTTAAATGTAATATTCAGATTTTAAAATTTATGATTTAACAATGCACATTGTTTTTGCATTTGTACCTTTACAAAAACGGAAGATTCTTTGGTGTACAGTAAAGAGACCATTGTAAATTTGTGGCGGAAAGGCTGAATTGCTCAGGAAATAGTGTTGGATCAATCTGCTATCCAAAGAGAGAACGATTCCTTCCACTTATCCTACTCTATTAAAATACACTCTAGATGGATAAAACCCCTCACTGTAAACAAAATATTAAAATCATTAAAAGAAAATAAGAATATCCTGCTGTCCTTAAGGAAACCTTTATGAAGATACAAACATTCAAAAACTGTTAAAAGAAGACACTGACGCTCAGTTGGTTAAGCGACTGCCTTCGGCTCCGGTCATGGTCCTGGAGTCCCAGGATCGAGTCCCACATCGGGCTCCCTGCTCAGCGGGGAGTCTGCTTCTCCCTCTGACCCTCTTCCCTCTTGTGCTTTCTATCGCATGCTCTCTCTCTCTCATTCTCTCTCTCTCAAATAAATAAATAAAATCTTTAAAAAAAAAAAGAAGATACTGACAGATTTGACCTCATAAAAATTTACATTTTCTGCATAACAGCTATTTCCTTGGAAGTTAAATTAGGAGATAGCAGATTGGTAATCAGAATTTATTAGAATTCTTACTGTTTGAAAGAGAAAGATAAAACTACCAGTAGGAAATGACACAATCCATATTAAAAAACACTCAGAAGGAAATTAAAAGGTCCAATAATAAAAATGAGAAGATTTTCAACCTCACTAGATGTCAGAGACATGAAAATGGAAGCAACAATAAGATAGTCATCAGATTAACTGTTGGTGAAATTGTGGAGATATTGATACATTTATGTGAGGCTGAATGTAGTGTAAATTGGGATAGCCATTTTGGGGGAGTTGACAGAAATTAATTAACCTAAAATTACCCACCAGTTCCCTGTCTTGATAAGAGAAACTCTTATATAGCTTTAGAAGGTGACATTTTCAAGGTTATGTTGTTTTTAAATAAGGGAAAATTGGAAACAACCCAAATGTGTATCAATAGCCTAACTGAAGTATGTTCATACAATGGAACAATTAATAGGAATGAATTCCAATTGTATATCAACTTGGATACATCTTAAAATTGTATAATTGAGTGAAATGATAATTTGCTGAATAACAAATGCACTTTGTTATATCTGGAAAAATACATAAAATAATACCCTGTATTTCTTTTTTAAAGAACTTTTAATATGCTCTATTTTTAGATTTACAGGGAAGTCACAGAGTTTCCAAATGTTCATCCTCCATCCTTCCCGGTTGTTAACATCTTATATAGCCCGGTGCAATGTTCAGAACAGGAAATTAACATTGGTGCAATATTATTATCCCAACTAAACATTTCATTTGATCTTCACCAGTTGTTTTATCCATGTCCTTTTTCATTCCAGGATCCCCGTCAGGATTCTGGCTTGTGTGTGGTTGTTGCCTTACCCTGGTCTCCTGCAGTCTACAGCTCCTCCTCAGTGTTTGTCTTCCATGACCTTGACATCCCCAGTGAGCATCGCTCTGTTACTTTGCTGGATGTCCCTCAGTTCAGCCTGTTTGACATCTTTTTACATTTGGACCGAGGGAACTCCTCCCAGCAAGAGCACTATAGAAATGGCGCGGCCTCCTTCTCAGTGCATCCTGTCACGGGGCTCATGATGTTGAGTTTATTACTGGTCATGTTGGCCTTATCACCTGGTCAGGGTGCTCTCAGCAATTTTCTGCTATAAAATTGCTACTCTTCCCCCTGGAGCCAACAAATATTTTAGGAAAGATCCTTTGAATCTACACAAATCTCCTGTCTCTTATGCCTTTGCTCACTGATTGTACTACATATGAAAGGCAAATTTAGCTCTATCTATAATGTTCGAATATTTAAAAAATGTAAAATACATCTCACTTGGGTAATAAAATATAAAGCAAATATACACACACAGTGTTATCTTACTCAGAGGAAAATAACTCTTCTCTTTTAAAAAAAACTTATGGAGCGCCTGGGTGGCTCAGTCAGTTGAGCATCTGCCTTCATCTCGGGTCATGATCTCCGGGTCCTGGGATTGAGCCCCATGTCGGCCTCCCAGCTCAGTGGGGAGTCTGCTTCTCCCTCTCCCTCTGCCTTTCCCCCTGCTTGTGCTCTCTCTGTCTCCATCTCTCTTTCAAATGAATAAATAAAAAAAATAAAAATTAAAAAAAATTTATAAAACCAAGAATGTTTTCATGGAAAATATTTTTGCCCAAGGTCTTGATATAAATTATGTGTAAGAGTGTGATAGATATAAAAATAACATGATATGAAAAGGTAACAATTTCATGGTAAAATAATAACACCAAGTACTATTGCTATTCCTGAAATTTTGTTTCCACGGAACAAGACCTGCATGAGGAGGAGAGACTCCCTTTTATGCTGTAGCTCTGCCTTTTAATATATTAATATTAAATTAGTATTATGTCATGGTTTAAGCTCAGAGATTTTGGCCAATGCTATTCACTAATAGTTTGGCCAGTTCACTAATGAGTTTCTACAGTGTCTGTGTTCGTATACTAAATGATACCTGGTTATGCTGTTGATTTGGTGTCCTTTAGAAACTTCTTGTTAATAAATCTGACTTCAGGGTAACTGACAGGGGGCCGTTGATTTTGGTAAGGGTTCCATCTAGCTTTCATCATTTCGTGGTAGTGTTCCAAGGTTTGTTATAGGCAGGGACCGCTCCTTGAGAAGATTTAACCTCAGAGCCTGCTGGCAAAGGGACAAGCTGTAATACCTGATATATGCATTTTGATCTCTGCAGCTGCACTCTGTTTAATACTTATACCCATCATTTTCCCTAGGTCTCTACCCGCCGAGAGCCAAGCTGGTAATACAGAGGCATCTCTCATCACTGACAGATAATGAGCAAGCGGACATCTTTGAGCGAGTTCAGGTAACATAATTTATAGTTCTCACAAATAAGATATAAGAAATGAGAATTGGATCCTGTTTTTACAAGTTTTTTTTTCATTCCCCTCTCTGAAGTTAAAGATATATATCCTATTACACTATATATGATAGTAACCAGAATACCACTGTTACTCTTGCTTCTGAGAGCAGTGAAACACTTAGATTTATTTATGTCTGTTTGCCAGACACATGAAACCAAGTGGGAATATAATGAGAGAAGCTGTGTTGCATAGTGTGCTATTGGTTTGTCTCTTGGACAGAAAATGAAGCCAATCAGTGACCAGGAGGAGAATGAACTTGTGATTTTACATTTGAGGCAGCTGTGTGAAGCCAAGCAGAAGACACACATTCACATTGGAGAAGGCCCATCGGTGAGAAGATGCTTTTCTTCCTTGACCTACTTTTGTTTTGTTTATATTTTTAGTCAAAATATCACAGAAGATGTGAAAGGAGTTTCTTTGTGTTCTCACCTTTAGGGCTAACTTTCTATCAGATTTATTTTTCAACATCTTATGAGTTTTATAGGAGGTTTTAACATTGAGATAAAATAAGGATGAGCTTTAAAATGCGAAAAAAGATGGGTTCTTGGTACAAAAACAGTAATAACAAATGTTCATGATTTAGAATGAACATGCTTTTTTGGTTATATTGATCTATTTTATTTCAAATTCATATGAACATTTTATTTCATTACAAGTTTACACAACCTTGATGGGTAAATAGCAAACACCCAAAGAAGCAGATAGCATTTTGGAAACAGCCATTTTAGCTGCAAATGAAGGTGTGGTATTTTTGTGCGTGTGGTTGAGAATGTGTTTCCAGCGGCATGTAGATAAAACAAGATGCCAGCACCAGCCCTGTAAGAAGATGATGACATAGTTACTTCCCAGTAACACAAATTCAGGTTAGTCTGTATCCCACTCTATTCAGAAGAAGTCACACGTCACTTTATTAGTGATTCCTGAATTGGATTCCTTAAACCAGCTCTTCCAGAGCATCTTCTTTGAGCCGAGCTGTGTGATAATGGTGAACCAAGAAGAGATGAATGAATCCTCTAGGGAAGGGCTCAAATATTGGAAAGGGGAATGCAGATAGATAAATGGAGCCACAGAATAGAGGCAACAATGTGGCTTTTTAGAAGAATGTGCAGTGAGCTCAAAAGTAGCTATGTCTTCGCTTTAGGGCCGAATACAGAGTAAGGACGAAGCGAAGAATTCAAGAATTCAAGGGGAAGAAATCTTGGGGCGGGCAGGCAGGGGACCAAAGTTTTAGGGGAGATAGTTTGTTAATTGAAAAAGTCAAGGAAGTGTTTTTTAAGAAAGGGACATTGAGCACAAAGTTATGCAGAAGCTGTGACCATGACCTACTCCGTGCGGGTCTTCAGAGTACTTAGTGGATTTTTAGGATGCACCTGGGGATTGATGGGGAAATACTGGCTGGAAGGGTAGGCAGCAGTGAGATGATGATTAAATTAGTATTAATTAATAAGTGCGTTGGCTTAAGTGCTAAGCCTGACTTTGTCATTGAAGGTAAGAGCATGAGATCAGATTTGTAATTTAAAGAGAGAATTCTGGGGCGCCTGGGTGGCTCAGTCAGTGAAGCGTCTGCCTTCGGCTCGGGTCATGATCCCAGGGTCCTGGGATCGAGCCCCGCATCGGGCTCCCTGCTTGGCGGGGAGCCTGCTTCTCCCTCTGCCCCTCCCCCCGCTTGTGCGCGCCTCTCTCTAACAAATAAATAAATAAATAAAATCTTTAAAAAGAAGAGCTAATTCTGTTGTCATAGTGATGGCTGATTTGTGGGACAGGTTGATGGGTGAGGGGGTTGACAGTGTTAGAACTGAAGTCACATTCCCAAATCAGGAGAGTTTTGTAATAGAATACGTGAGAAGTGATTCATGTAATTGCACAAACTTGTATCAAGTTGCATACTGTTTACTAGGCAGTGGTGTTGAATAATGACAGCTCTTTTCTGCCATCTAACTGTTGAGGAGGAGAAACCAACATGTAATCAAATAAAGTAAAATATGGAGATAATGGTGGGGTGGGTACAATGATAGAAGTATGTGCTAAACAGAGATAACACTGCTACGTAAATAGATTGAGTGAGTCTGTCTTTAAAAATTTATTTTGTCTTGGAGAGAAGCTGAGCTAGAGCACTACTGGAGATGTGGGGGGGGGGGGGATGAGGCAGGAGCTATTTAGGAGGCATGATCAGCAGGACTTTGTGACCAGGAACGTGTCAAGGAAGCGAAAGGGGATTGCTAGGAGAGACTTCAGAGTTTCAGATGTGGGGGAAGTGGATGAAATTGAGCTGGAAATATAGGAAGAAAACAAGAATGGGACAAGGGATGGAACTAAGAAATAAGAGTTAAGTTTTAGAAGTGGGTTTGAGGGGCACCTGGGTGGCTCGGTCAGTTAAGCATCTGACTCTTGATTTTGGCTCAGGTCGTGATCTCAGGGTCGTGAGATCGAGCTGTGCTGGACATAGAGCCTGCTTAAGATTTTCTCTCCCTCTCCTCCTGCCTGCCCCCCGCCATGTGCGCGCTCTCTCCCCATAAAAAGAAAGAAAGAACCCCCCGCCATGGGCGCGCTCTCTCTCTCCCCATAAAAAGAAAGAAAGAAAGAAAGAAAGAAAGAAAGAAAGAAAGAAAGAAAGGTGTTTAAGATTTAATTAGAAAAATGGACTTGGTGCCTACAGAGGAATTTGAGTTGATATTGTGAATAAATATGGAAGACAATGAGTTTTGGCCTAGATTTGAAGTCAAAGCAGAGGTACTGAAGAACCCCTGCATTTCAGGCAATGAGTGAATTAAAATGGTGCCAGGGAAAAGACTGAAAGAAGATGATAGGGTAGAAAGAGACTGGAAGAGATTTGCTACGGTAGGTGACCAAGGTAGGGGAAAAGTTCAAGTTAGAACATCAGCCATGTCCAGTGATACAGGAAGGTCAAGAAACGTAAAGACTAAAATCTGTGAACGGCTTTGCTGATTTCAGTCACAGTGGTGATAGTGATGTTGACTAGTGGGCCAAAGCAGTGTGTGAGCAGGGATGTGCAGCTTCGTGGTGATGGAGGGCACTAAAGATCACAGAAGAGGAGACTTCAACGCACTGTTTGTTTCCTGCTAGTAGTTAAGTTCAGCCTCACTGTCTTTTCCTCCCTCGCCCCTTCCTTTCTTCCTTTCATTTATTCATCTGGTATTTACTGAGCAGCTACTATGTCAAGCACTGTGCTAAATACCAATACAACTTCCCTATTTTAGCCATGTTCTTTGCCTGGAAAGCCTGAGAAGAAGTCCTCCCAGTCCTTTATCCACACCTGAGCCCAGTCCAACCTACATCCATATTCATTGTTTTCTTTCCTTTCTTGATGGGGGTCGTATTTCTTTTTATCAGTAACTGAGATCTGTTAGCCAATTCTAATGTGGACCTTTGATTGCCTTCTCTATGGACTGTGCTGTGAATTCTCTAGTCTGGTCTTTCAGTCTCTGATTTTCTGTCCTTCAGGTGATTTTTGAATACTCCTTTCAGATAAATCTTCCCCCAAATATTACTTTTACAGTGATGCCCCTCTGCTTATAAATTCTGATCAGTAATTCTTCCTATTCAAAGTTTCATCTCCAGCCTCACTTTTCCAAGTTAACCTTCAACTACTTTCCTTTGTTTTAACCAAACACCTGCACTGACCCCTGTCCCATGAGCATTGGTCTTTATGATTTTGCTAACATCATCCCCCATGCTGAGAACTTCTCCATACCCATTTTTTTTCTGCCTGTAGAATTTTGCCTATTTTTTTTTTTATTCCTGACCACTGGGACCCACAACCAATCTTTTTTTTTTTTTTTAAAGATTTTATTTATTTATTTGACACAGAGAGAGAGAGAGAGCAAGGGCAGGAACACAAGCAGGGGGAGTGGGAGAGGGAAAAGCAGGCCTCCTGCCAAGCAGGGAGCCCGATGCGGGGCTCGATCCCAGGACCCTGGGATCATGACCTGAACCAAAGGCAGACGCTCAACAACTGAGCCACCGAGGTGCCCCCACAACCAATCTTTTTATTCCTGAGACCCACAACCAATTTTCGTGCTTCCAGATTTGATACATGTTGCTTTGTGTTACTGTTTAATGTGAATATATTCCTTTTTCAAACAAAGAACAAAGTTTCTCTCTTGGAAATTTTCTAGCACTGCCAACTGTGTAATATACATAGTAGGTTGTTAGTGCAATAGAAAAAATATAGAGGGGACCTCGTATAGTGAACATATTGTAGATTCTCAGACAGCTCAGTACTATCAGTGAGTACTTGTTGATTTGAAAGATAAATGACTCACAAATGAAAATGGGATTGTCACAGAGGCATTAGCAGAATTCAGTTTTACTAGAAGATGCTTTGTTCTTTGAGACTTATTTTCTATGTTTTCCTTGGTAATTTGGATATAAAATATGCAGCTTGGAGAGGGATGGTTATAGTTGTTAATCAAAATAGCAGTAAAAATTGACATCTCATGTTTAATTTTTGTTAAATGTAGCAGGAATATATTAGCATAAAGGAAAGATCTGTGTTTTTTTTATTACTTAATAATATTAAAAAGCAAACCCCTGCCCTTATAATCTGTATGCTCACAGTGTGGAACCTAAATTATTACTCCTTAATAGAGCTACAGAAGAATTCTTGTGCTTTTTAATGGCTTAGTCAAGCCCATATTTAAAGCCTCATTTAACCTTGAGTGTTTCTAAACTAAAATTTATCTGTTTTTCTTCCTATAGACTATTTCAAATAGTACAATCCCAGAAAATGCAACAAGCAGTGGAAGGTTCAAACTTGACATTCTGAAAAATAAAGCTAAGAGATCTTTAACTAGCTCCCTGGAAAATATCTTCTCAAGGGTAAGATTAAACTGAGACTCTCTTAATTAGATATTAATGTCTGTGTTTGCTAACTGCTTTACTTCACTCTCAACTGGCTCATGGAAAATTTCCTTTAAAAAAAAAAACACAAACTACTAAGATAACTTTAATTTAGTTAACTTAAGTAATCTCATGATTTATTCTGGTGCCTCCAATATCTAAGTTTGAGCAAGAGATATAGTAGTAGAGATAATATGTATAAAAAAGGGGAAGTAGAATATTGATGTCTGTTATTATAAGAACTTATTATCATTTGCCACATAAAGTTATAAAGTAGCCTTCATTTTGCTATTATTAAGAGCAGACAAGAAATGCTAAAATAGTATAAATTAATAAGAATTTATGTATTCCATTTATTTTATTGTGTGTTTTATTTTAAAATCAAAGTGATTTCTCTTCCCTTCATTTTTTTCTTCCTGAATAATTCAGTCCTAAAGCTCTTAGATAAGCCCAAGCAAGGTAGATGTCTTAGAGCTGGAGGGTGGGGGACCCACAGTGGCTCAGAGCAGGGAGACAGAGCCTAATGGGGTGCTGTGTGGGGGGTGGCCCAGTGCGGCATGTGGAATCCAGAGTGTGGTGAGGAGGATATCAACTTAGGAAGGCAACCTGGTTCAGGAAGTTAGAGCTTGAGCCAGCGAGGAGGCCAGGCCTGCAGAGGGATGGCCCAGAGCAGTGTGTTAGAGCCAGCGTAGTGGAGGGGAGAAGGCTTCCAAGGTGCTTGTTACAAGGAGTCCTTGAGCAGGGTGAGGATGGCATTGTGTGTGTGGGTGGCAGCCCCGATGTGTGGAACCTGAGTAGGATGAAGAGCGTTGATGAGGTGACAGTTGTGGAGAATCTTATGCACAGGGGACTGGTCAAATATGAACTGTATTAAAGATTTGGGAAAAGGGAATTGCAAATATGAAGAGGGAAGAAATTAGAATAAATCCCGTGTTGTTGGATTCAACTCAGAGGTATGTAGAATCCTGGTTATCTATCTATGTACTTTTGAATTTATTTTTAATGTAGTTAATTTATTTTTATTTATTTATTTTTAAATATATATTAATGTGTGTGTGTGTGTGTAAATGTGTATATGGTCCCTGGCTCTGTCCAATGATAGGAGCTGGAAACAGCTTTTCTGCAAGTGCCAAAGAATACATTAAGCCTGGTTAGGTGACACTAAGCACCCAGATTTTGGTTTCTGTTTATCATTCTGCAAGAAGGAACCAGAATCCTGGGAGAAGCGTCTGATTCCAGGACTGCAGGGGAAAGTACAAGATAAGCCCTGAGCATGTTGGTGTTGTAGATAGTAAGGCAGTGCTCAAAGAAAGATGGTGGTATGTCATAAAGACCATGAAGGGCTCCCACCATTGACATGTAAACCTCAAAATATATGATAGCAAAGGATTGTAACCTGCTGTATAAAATAGGAAATGATGAACCTACTCTGATACGAAAAATGAAAAATACCTTGGAAGTTTGATCATGATCAGGATATTTACTGGATTTAATTGATACTCATTAATTACAAAGAGGTGAGTAGTAACTTTATGATGGAGAAGGCCGGCAGACACCACCTCAGTCAAGTGATCAGATGGAACATCCTCAGCAATGGGACAAATTGAAATCTTGTGCCACTTGATACGGAGAATACAGAACTTCTGTGCTATTCTTGCCAAAGGGGCAATACCTGAATCGAATCATGAGGTAGCGTCAACAAACCCACATTGAGGAACAGTCTACAAGATAACTGGCCTGTTGTCTTCAAAAGTGTCAGGGTCAAGAAAGCTAAGTGCAGTAGAGCATTAGGACGGTACCTTCTGATATAGGGTATTATTATTTTTATTTCTTTGCTAAAACTCTAAATACTTTTATGGGTATTCCTCTTCATGATTGAAATTCTTCTGATTCTAACAAAAGCCTTATAGCAAACATGGTCGGCTATCAACACTATTGTCAGCAGAAGACAGAATGTAGGAAAAGAGAATTCTAGGAGGTTAATCAGAAGTGTGTGAATGCAACATTTCATAAAATTTTCCTATCCTTTTTTTTCCTTCAGTATTTATAAATTACTTGTGTTCCTTCTTTCTCTCCTTCCTTCCTTCCTTCCTCCCTCCTCCCCTCCTCCCCTCCCGCCCTCCCCTCTCTTCCACAGTATTTAGTGAGAATTTTAGTGGAAAGGCCATTTAAGTAGGTGGTCAGGGGACCTGAATTCAACACCTGGCTTTATATTTATGATCTCGATTTTATATTGATGTAGGTTTTGTATTTATGATCTCAGACAAATTATTTACCTTTCCTAAGCCAGTTTTCCCATTTGTGAAATGTGCATGCTGATGACGTGCTTACCTCCCGTTACTATGAGGATGAAATGTCAGTCTGCTAGGAAAATATCCCAGTGTAGCTATGAGATGGGACAAATAGTGGTAAGCTCTGGAACCTCCGTCCTTTACAAAACGACCAAAGGGGACTTAGAATGTTACTCTCTTATCCCCATTTAGTCCCTTGGCATTCTGCACAACGCTTGCAAGGCTGACTTTGAAGTGCCGCTCGCTCGCATAGCCTTGAGAGGCCATGCTAACTCTCAGCAAGGGCACAGACCGTCTGTTTTGGTCAAGGCGGACACTGTAGCTTGTACCCCACAGTGCTGCCAAGTGCCATAAATTATGTGACCTAATGAGATCTTGCTTGCACCATGTGCAACAGAATGGACTTAAGGGGAAGGTTGGCAGCTCCCCGTGTTGTGTTAAAGGCTACATAGAAAAGAGGTTTGTGTACGTCTAAAATGGGTTAGTTTATCTCTTTCTAAGTTACATAGTAGAAAATTGACATACCAGTCTTAGAGTTTGGCTCATAATTGCTGCCATTTTTAAATGTCAAGACAGTTTATTTAACTAACTATAGTTGTTTATGAAATAGAATATGTTTTTAAAATGCTTAGAAGCTCAGCTCATTAACAATTAAAAAGTGGGTCCAAGGGAGAAGCTTGACACATGTATTACCAAATCATCATATAGTTAAACTGAAAAAGCTGTCTGCTCAGAGGTGAAAAGACAGAGCCTTGTATTCTGGTTGTTTGTCTTGCTTTTTCTGAAGTCAGTGTTTTCCAGAAGGGAAATTTTTACTAATATATTAATATATATTTTCAAAAGAAGAATATTTACAATATAAAGTATGCATCGTAGGAAAACAACCCTCATTTCATCCTTCCCTTAGAGTACTTACTATCCATTGTCCTTCCTTGTTGAAACGTGTGAATTAACGACCGTGATAGAGGACAATTTTAAAAGTAAGTTTGTTTTGCTTTGTGCACATACACACCTACACACACACAAACATATGGATAAAACACTACTATGAGTAAAATATGTGATTTAAGTGCTTTTCTAATAATGGCAATGATTTGATACCTGTCTGACTAGTTACTTGCTTGTGACCAAATAACCTGTTTTAAGATACACAGGCAGGTTTGGTGTGGAAGTAACAGCTAAGAAAATGGGAAAAAGCAACCTTGTCTTTACAATATTTTCCTCATGGCCACACACATAAACCGAATCATTTATCAGCCACAAATATAGTTTATTACTGGAAGTATCTCCTGGTCTGTATAACACTGAAATAATAGCCGAAGGAACCTTGAATCAGGTTCTAGGACATTTGCAAAATTACCAGCATCAGCTACTTAGTTTTATTAGTAATTCCACTCTTCACAAACTCTGTTTCTAGGAGATGTGGGTACCAGCTCAAGAGTTTCACTGTTAAGTTGAATGTCCTGGGTTCAAATTGCTGCCCTGTCCTTTAACTAGCTGTGTAAACTTTGGCAACATAATCTATCAGAACTTTAGTCTCCTTAATGGTAGAGTTGAGCTATGTAACTATACCTACCTCATAGAATTTTTGTGAGGATTAAATGAAATAATGCATTATAAAATGCTTAACATGGTATATAGCAGACTGTAGGAACTCATTAATATTTGATGCAGCTATTAATTTTACAGTTGATATAGTTGTTATTTATGGTGCCACCAGAAATATAAAACTATAATTAATATACATAGATAAAGATTGCTTCTATAAAACCAGGTGTGGGATACCATCAATATAAAACAGTCAATTGACAGAGAACAAGAGTCACTGGAGTGAGCAATTGAATCAACAGTCAGTTGGGTGATAAAGAAAGAACTGTTAAAACTTTCTGGTAGTAGACATAAAAAGAAAAATTCAACAGAAGTCTGGGGCACGAGAGTTGAAAAACTCTTCCAAAAAGTAAGCAAAATGACAAAGAAATGGAAAATAGGAGGACAAAGGAAAAACTTAAAGGCTCAGTCTGAAGATCCAAAAGCCAAATGGTAGGAATTACACAAAGAGGAAATACCCCAATCTCCCTTTCTTGGAAGGCACCTGGAGTGTGTACTCCGCCAAAATGAGGAAATAAACTAAAAGAAAAAGGAACACATGGGATCAAAGACACAAATTTCGACATAGGGTAGTATTAAAGGAGATGTCTAGGTTGATAGTAAAGAAAATTACTGGGAAAGTCTAAATTGCACCCTGTCTAGAGTAGGGCAGAAAGACCGATTTCTAGAATGGGTAGCTCAAAGAAAAAGAAAAAAAATGCAGTTGATGGATTATGTGATGTTTGATCACACCGAGTTCTGTGGGTGACTTTTGTAATAAAATCATGATTGCTGAGGCACTTGTTGACTACATGAAAAACAGATTGTACAAGATAGGAGTTGTAATAACAGTAAAGTATGTAGTAGATGAGATGATCGCTTCAGTTCCTCTTTCTCAGATCATCCATGAAATTCATACCAAACAACCATGAAAAGAAAAACAAGAACCAATGTTGAAGCAGACTGATGTATAGTCTTCTAGAGAGAAGTACTTTCTTGAGGTAGTTTGCATTGTGGAAGAATGAATGAAGCTGAGTCTATACATTTTATGACAGTTTTGAAAAACCTGTTTGTTATAATCCTATAATGGGAACTATGATGTTTGCCATCTAGGTTGTGTGGAGGCTGCACATATTAAATCATTTTCTTTATAACTGTTGTGGTTTGTGTGTTCTGCCTTCCATGGTTGTGTTTATCTGTACGAGACATAAAGCGAATGGGGCACTCTCTGATCTTAACGCAGTTCTCCTGATCTTATGGATGAAGAATGTTTAACCTTATAACCAGAGTAACTTCAAAAAGCTTGGTCTGAGTATCTAGTTATCTAATGACTGACTTAGAAGCAGTGTAAATAGGTTATTTTGTTTACCGTGCAGGCATGGCTGTGAATACTGCTGACAAATTTGAGCAAACTGCAGAAGGATCCATTTAAGGCTAACCTAAGGAGGTGACTGCCTTTTATAGTTTTAAAGTAAAAATTTAAACCGTACCAACAAGTGAATTTTATTCTCTTCATTCAGGGAGCTAACAGAATGAGAGGTCGGCTTGGAAGTATGGACAGCTTTGAACGATCCAACAGTCTTGCTTCAGAGAAGGTAACCCATCTCAGTTCCCATTTTTAGAACTAATTGCCACTTGGCAAAAACCAACACTGATATGGTAATATCACTCCACCGTTTTGTTCTGAGTCCTTTATGACTTTTAACAATTATTCATTATTATTAAAATTAAATTTAAGGGATTGAATTAATGTTAAAATAAATTGAAAATGCTATTGTCTTAAATAAGAAGGTTCTGGATAGTATCATGTTGTTCTCTGCTCAGCCGCCCCTTTCTTGTGTTAGGACAGAACACACCCTCTTCCCAGCTAATGGTGCTCCATCAGGCTTTTTACTGTTTGGAGATAGTATGCTTGGGAGGACAGTATTTGGGCAACTGTTGATCCAAAGCCACAGGAAAATAAGCTGTGTAATTCCAGCACTTATACAGTGATCTTTTTATGTTTTGTTCTGTCGCCATGTTACTCCCCCCATTCCCCCCTCCCCATTTTAACTGTCACATTAGGCTCCTCTTTATCTCATAGATAGTTCTCAGGAGGTTTGATTTCCTGCTTCCTGTGTCATGCAATATGTAACCTGAGGTCTATGCAACCTATTTTTTTAAGGAAAATATTAAAATATTTTTACTGAACTTTGTGTTGACAAAATTGAGGACTCAGCCTCGCTCTGAGTCTATTAGCCCTAAGCCATGTTTATCAAGCTAAACATTTCTACAGTGATGCCTGTTTTGGAAAGTAGAAACAGCATACCTGTCTAAATTGAGAGATTTATGATGTCTCCCCATGCAATATGAGAGGCATTCCGGCATAGCTTGCTTTCCATTCATTTCCTGTTTTCCATGTCTTTTAAAAAATTTTACCTCAGGGAACGTGTCGTTGGAGAGAAACATCCACAGTGAAGGAAGATGCTTAACAGGCTTTATTTTATTTTCCTGAAGGCTTTGCCATGAAACTTGGACACTCAAGCATTGTGGTATTGTTTTGACAGTACAGGAAGCATGCGGCTGATATGTCACGGAAATCAGTAGATATGTAAACACAGACTCCACCCTCTTTTGGTCATGATGCCTTTTCATCTTTCTGGCAACAATGAGAAAAGTACAGTAACCATAGCATTTTACCACAAAGTGTTAGGGGGAAAGAATACCTTTTCTTATCATTCCTTTCACTTTCTGCCTATCTTTACTACGGATGCTGTGTTACAGCTGCTTATCAGAAGAAATGGGTGGTGGTGATACTGATTAGCCTTCAGCATGGATTGAGCGAAAAAAAATAAAAAAGTTTTGTCATGACTCTGGAGGAAGAAGAGGCACCCTGTCACTTTGGAGCTGTGTGTTGAAGCAGGTCTGCCATGATCCATGCAGGAAAGAAAGACCTCACCTCAACTTGCTTTTCAGGACTATTCACCAGGAGACTCTCCGCCGGGGACACCACCAGCCTCCCCACTGTCCTCAGCTTGGCAAACGTTCCCTGAAGAGGATTCTGACTCCCCACAGTTTCGAAGACGGGCGCACACGTTCAGCCACCCACCTTCAAGCACAAAGAGAAAGCTGAATTTGCAGGATGGGAGAGCTCATGGTGTTCGCTCCCCTCTTCTGAGGCAGAGCTCCAGCGAACAGTGCAGGTGAGTCCAAACCTCTTTCTGGAAAGTGAAATAAAATGGTCCTGTCACCTGTTTTGATCAATATGGAGTCAAGATCTGTTGTGACTTCATGCTGCCAACATTTTGTCTTTAGAAAGACCAGAAAAATAAATTGAAATACAAAAACCTTCGTTAATAAAAAAAAAAAAACTTCGTTAATGAAGGAAACAAGGCAAGATTTAAGGTACACCCCAAGAGTTAAAGCATTTTGGATGAATACATTTTTTTCCCCAGAAAAATGGAGAAAACAAGATATTATACAATTATTTTCTCTGTAACACTTGGCGACCACACATTACTCAGTGTCTTTTTGATGATGGCTCTAATGAAACAGAGTCAGCAAATTTGAAAATCACCTACATAGCAGGAGAACTTCCTGTTAACATGTAATAAAATACAAGGATTAAAAAAAAAACCTAAGTTACCTTCATACCTGTGATAAAATTTAGCCATATTTCATAATGAATTAAAGCCAAAAATGAAAATTATTAAAAATTTTATCTAGAATAAAAGGATGTCTGTAAAGAAGAATACACATATCATAACTGTCAGGAAGTGTCCATTAGAAATGATCTGATGGTATTTAAAAAATAATTCAGCAAAATTGTTTGGCATTTGGAAAGATATAATAAAGGGGGTAAATCCAGAATTGTAGAATGGTTTTACTACTTCCTGTGTAGCACATATCAGAATTTATATCCTAGAATTAATTTTGTTTCTCTTCTTTGCCTGTGAGTTTGATCCAGGAAACAGAATCTGATAGTGATCCCAGTTGGAGGAAAACCCAGAACTCATTAGTTGTTATCGAATTTACCCGCATTTCTTTTAAGGATACTATTTTATTGTCAGTGTTGTTTTTTGACTGATTAGATACTTAGAAATAAGATAGATGTTTTGGATATATGAAAATAAAGGAGATTAACAGAATTAATTTTTCTCAGATTTGCTTTTCTAAAAAAAGATTAAGCATTCATGTGTATATCAAGAATGTATATATCATTTTTAATGACCACTTCATTTATATTTATATTTATATTTATACAAAGCAATAAGTCTGTTTTTTGCAGGAAAAGTTATCAAGAATTTAAAACATTATTTTAGACTTATAAATGATTTCTCTATTTCTCCTTACACCTTATAATGTAGATGCTCAAATAATTTTTGTCAGTATGAAAAGATGCTATTTGTGCTATTGTGAAAACTTGCTAGGAAAAGAATCTTCTGAAAAGAGCAGTCAATGGAGGAGGTTCAAGGATTCAGAGAAAACTGTGGACACACAGTCCCGCAGGCTGCAGGGAGAACATAGACATTCATGTTTGTTAAGCCAGAGGTATTATGATGGCTTCCAACAACCAAACATGTTGTTCCTAAATTTTTTGAAGGGTGTATATGTTTAAAATAGCTAAGTCTTTGAACTACTGATAATCTGTCACAGGAATGTGTTTCCTGTAATTATTTCTGCTTTCCTACTTTTTTTTTCCCTTGAGGTATCTTTTGCATGTAAAAACAAACACCATTTGTCCTAAAATTGTGAAGAATTTTTTAGAGACAAACATGTCTGGTTGGTCATTCTGGGTGAAGAGTTCAGTTTGTGAAGAGTGAGCTAGGTCACGGTAATCGAAAGAGACGACTGCATGCTCCCCTCTTTCCATAGAAGATCCAGCCCTGAACTTTAAAAGGGAAGCTTAAGTTAATAGCAAGAACCTGTTTATAATGCTTTTTCATAGTGAATGAAGATTTTTGCTGAAATCTAAATTAAGACAAATTTGCTGTGTTTTCTGTACTCAGCATTCTTCCATCAGTGTGGCGCATGCACAAGGAGAGTAACTCTTCCTCCAGCCTTCCAAGTCTACCTACTTCCTTCTCTGCCCCTTCCTTCACTGCCCCCCCTTTCCTGAAAAGCTTTTACCAGAATTCAGGTAGACTGTCCCCACAGTATGAAAATGAAATCAGGTGAGATCAGTGTCCTCTGTTTGCAAAGCAAAGTTTTCTGCAGTGATACACTGATATGTTACTAAAAAGTGGCTGATGAATTTTGGAGTGACTTGTATGCATCCGTATGCTGTGCTTGTTCTAATCCATTTCTGATATGTCAGTTTCAATTCCAATGAATTTTATCAGGAAAACTTTTAAAACCAGTGTTTCAAAGCTTTTAACAACATGATTATCTTACTTTTTGAATTATATCTTTTTGTACTATTTGTGTGATTCTTCGCCATATGCTCCAGAGTCTAAGCTTTGTATTGTTTGCAACAAGCCTTGGTGCTGACACATACTAAGCAAATCTCCCCCCAGTCGTGCTTTTTTTTTTCCCTTAGCATCTCTGGACATATGACATGGAATCCAAAAGCCACTGATTTAAACATGTGTACTAAAGTGATGGATACGATATATCTTTATTTTTAAGTATATAAACTATTTCCTAGGCCTTTCTTTGAGTTTTAAATGACGTAGACTTACTTCTCTGAAACTCAGTGTAATTACATAATGGGTATAGTATTGTGTTGATGTCAACTTTCAGAGAGCATGAAGGATTTCTTGAATCTTATAGATATTTGATTTTGTTTTGTTCCCAATATTGAAAATATATATAGCCTTTTAAATTTTCTTCTTTGAGCTTTTAGCTACACGAAATTAGATATAGTGATTTTTGGGGAATTGTCTTTTTTAAAAATTTAAAGTTATGAAATCTTACTGATTATCCAAATTATTAGTGGGATATTGACAGCCTCTGGAAAGTGGTGAGTTAACTTGGGAATTCTTTTAAACGGACTGATTGTTGCTGGCTTAGAAGTCTGTGATATTCATTCAGGTTTTTATGTGTAGCTTGACTCATTCTTTTTTTTTTTTTTTTTTGCTGTACAGTGTTCCATTTCATATACCACAGTTTATCCACTCACTTGCTGATAGACGTTTGGGTTGATTCTAGGCATTTGATATTTGGCAATTCTTGCAGTCAAGGAGAGGGACACCTGTTATCAATCAGCCTGTGTGCCCCTAAGATTTTCTTGGATATTCTTTTGGCCTCATTTCTTTCAGACTTAAGAAATCCCAAAAGTTAGCATTTAACTGGGTAACTTCAGTAACTGGTTACATTAGACTAATTTTTGAATTATCTCTGAGTGTCTTTTGTCTATGTATGCCAACTGTTTTCACTCCAAGAAAGATAGTTAATATTGGATTAAAAACAATTTGAATCTGAATTTCCTCTGAATTAGTACAAAGTCCTGTTCCTACATTGAGTTTCTAGTGAAGAAAGTTAATGACGAAATGATTTTAAGGGTTTTTTTCATGGGGGACCCTGGGGGCTCAGTCAGTAGGGCATGTGACTCTTAAATCTCGGTGTCATGAGTTTGAGCCCCACGTTAGGTGTAGAGATTACTTTAAAAAAGTAAGTATTAAAAACATAAATAAGAGGTTTTTCAAGGACAACCTTATGGGAGAAGAGTTAAAAGAAATTAGCTACAAAAACAGTATAATATGTATGGAATATGCCGTGATTTGAGAGAACCAAGAATGTATATATATATAAAAATATCAGTTTTCCTTATCTCCATAGTACTACCTATGAATAGGAATACAACACTTCCAGTGAAACATGTTGGCAGTTTCTTATTGTTCTGTTAGTTAAAGTGAGCATCTGGACAATCCCAGTTTTCTTCTGGAAACAGAAGCATGCCTGAAAGTGACAATTAGGAAAAGCCACTGAGGTCAAAGGTTAGCTGTGAACAGGACGTAGAATACCAAAACAGTGACTTTTTCTTAGATTATTTATAGTGTTTAGATTATTTATAGTGTAGGGTGTTACATATTCATCTTCAGTGGTTTTGCTTAAGTGTATGCATTATCGCTTCTTAGTCCTCTGTACCTCATTCTAATAGAAGGATATTGAAGTCAGAGGCAAGTATATATTAGTTTTGCATTGAAAATTTCCACTTTTTTAGCTATCTTACTTGAAGTGATATATTGAAATATGTGGGGAACTTTTAAATTTGTAAGATCATTAAAAGTAATCCTGTTTTCTGTACTTTGTAATATTTTCTTGACTCTGAGAAAATCTAAAAATCAGAGAGCACATTTTTGTACATTTTTCTATAGCATCTGTACACTTTTTATTTACTTATTTTTTTTTGTAATTTGACAAGCCTAGAATCAGTAGGCCAAAAAGAGACTTAAAATTTTTATTTTCATGGAAAAGTACACCAGTCATGAGGATGCAGCTCAGTGGATTATCACAGAGTGAATACTCCCGTGTCACTACTCCATCAATAACTGAAATGCTATCAGCACTCCCACAGTTCCTCGCCTTTTCCCACCCAATTACTTCCCCTCCTCCTGACCACTAATACCATAGTTCATATCTGCCTGGTTTTGAACTTTATATAAATGGAATGATACAGCATATATTCTTTTATTCTGGTTTCTTTTGTTGCACCTTAGTTTGTGAGATTCATTCCCGTTTTTATGTGCACTTCATTAATTTTTTATTGCTGTATAGTATTCCATTTAATATGTTGCAATTTATTTTATTTTATTTTATTGTTTGCTAGTGGACGTGTGGATTGTTTCTAGTTTTTGGTTATTTTTATTTTATTATTTTTTTTTTATCTAGAGAGAGAGTGTGAGCAGTGGGAGGGGCAGAGGGAGAGGGACAGAGAGAATCCTAAAGCAGGCTCCATGCCTACCACAGAGCCCAGCATGGGGCTTGATATCATGATCCTGAGATCATGACCTGAGCCGAAATCAAATGTCAGACACTTAACCGAGTGAGACACCCAGGCGCCTCTAGTTTTTGGTTATTAAGAGAGTACTGCTGGGGCATCTGGCTGGCACAGTTAGTAGAGTGTCTGATTCTTGATCTTGGGGTTATAAGTTTGAGCCCCATGTTGGGTGTAGAGATTACTTAACAAAATAAAGTCTTTAAAAAAAAGTAGTCCTATATATTATTAATTGTGCATATCTATGCATTATTGAGGACTACATCCACAGTAGTAAAATTGTTGGACAAAATTCTAATAGGTTTATTTCAACTAGTAAGTCAGTTGGACATAAATTTACTAGTTACAGTCTTGGAGAGGGTTTTTTTTTCAATTTGTACTGTGATATAATTTCAGAAATTTGAAATAATTTCAGAAAATTTGGAAAAGATTATGGACAACTCCTGCAAACCTTTTATCCAGATTCATCGACTTTAAAAATTGCCACGTTTTCTTTATTATTCCCTCTGTCCATTTACATATATATGTAAATATATGTGCATGTAATTTATATGTAAATACATGTATACATATGTATATATGTAAATATATGCATACATGTATCTTTATTCTAAGCCATTTGTGAATAGGTTACATATATCATGTCCCTTTACTCTGAATACTTTAGTGTATATTTCCTAAGAATAAGGATATTCAAGAGCATGGTTTTAACCCAGTGATTTCTGAATCTACATTTCTCATCACTGCTTTCAGAGAGAACATTATGCACACACAATTAGCATAATATCTGGAACTATTCAGAATGGTAAGGGGAGGAAGTTCAGAATACTATAAATTATAATTTTCTTTTCACTTGAGTATCTCATATTTTATTAGTTGTATCTCTATGCATAGTCAAATAAACTATAGAGTGGGTTAGCATATAGGCTAACATATACTACTTTTTAAAAAGGCTATTAATTTGAAATTTGAAACTCAGATTAAGCATCCTTCTCTAGGACTTCTATTCTGAATTATTAAAAGCATGTGAGGTTACTGTTTTTAAGCAGGCTGAGAAAAAGGAGACAAGATGTTTTTAATATCATGGTTTACTGATAAGTAGGTTTATCTGCACAGCATTGAAATGATTAAGGAAAAGGAATAAGCATATGTTTTGTTTAATTTTTAAAAATTTAATGTTATTTCATTGTTTAGTGACTAAACTATAATTGTGATGATATAGTATATATAATATTCATTTATCAAATATATCCTTTTCATTTATGTTGAAGTTCATTGGTCAAAAGTAAAATGATCATCATTACTTCTATTCACTTATAAGACTTGTCAGTGAGAAAATAAGATTTTTGCTGATGAAGTACTTTGTGGTACAGTTTTGGTTCATATAGTTCTCTTGTGTTCACTGATAAAAATAGTATTATCATAACTCATGGTTCATTATTGCCTCATCTATGCCTTATTGATGACTAATGGGAATGCCTTTATATTCTAAATCCTGATTTTGGACATATATCTCTCTGTGTGCTAATGTCGTTCCTTCTTTTCCTGTTGTACTAGACAGGATACTGCTTCAGAATCAAGGTGATTAGAGGTCTAAATATGTTCTTATAAAAATTCATAAATTCTTCCAACTGAATATCACTCTCAGTTTCAAACGCAATTTTGGCTGTCTCCTGAATGCATGCCAACATTCCAGTGCTATGATGGTTATATAGCAGGGAAAATGTGATGCCTGGTGTAATCAAAGATCACAAATGATCATTTAAAATGTTGATTGCAAACGGAAATCCTGTTTCTACTCTATTCCATGTTGACAATTCCTTAGTACTGTGCTGTGGCCTTCAATCAAAGCCCAATTTAAATTCTGAATTAATAGACATGAATTTGCTCATTTGGAGGTACACATGTATATATAAGGAGTTTATTTCAAATCCTGAGAAGATGCAGAAATGAGCATCCTAAAAGAAACATACTCATGAAATTTAATCTGGTTTTCACCTAAAGAGGATTGTTAATCTATTTCCTTTCACCTTAATTCTTGACACATTGGTTATTTTGAGATACTGCTCAGGCCTGCCAGACCTCCCATTGGTCTGGACAAAGGAAAACACCTACTTCCTTAATATGGAAGTCTGACCACATCTGTAATGACATCTCTTCCTCTTGACCCGCATGTTTTTTGGTAAACATCCAAAATCATCGCCGAACAACTTAATGGAAAATGATTAGTTTTTGCTTTGTTCTAGTTTCTATACTTAGCTTATGTCAGGAATCGAATGAAACAGACATGCCCATCTTCCTATTTGGAACCACTAACATTTAGATTTCTTTCCAGTTGGAGTGAAAACACATATTAAAGATTGAACTAGAATGAAAAAGGAGAAAAGAGAAGGGAGAAAAAAGAAAATTATTTTGGCCACTCTGATAAGACTGAGATTTATAACTGTCACTTTTTAATGGTTGGGTGTAAGACATTTAAATAATACTTCTTATCTACTTTTAAAAGCTAATGGAAATGTTAGTTTTACTGTGTGTCCTTCTAGGTTCTACTATAGGTACAGAATTAAGTTTGTTTATTCCCTTAGAAATCATTTGGCCTATAATTTCCTTACTTTACATATGGTTAGATTGAGCCCCAGGGATGTTTTATATCTTGCTTGATATTATTTTCTTAATTTCAGGTTTTAGGGATGTGAGTAAGCAAATGAGCTTGCTACCCAGAGATACTTTAAATTCCAATGCAAAGAACTTGATCTTTTAAAAATTTGCATTCAATGTAGAGTTTATGAAATAAAACTGTTTTTCTCATTCTTTTTGTTTGTTTTACACATTGTTCCACTGATTAATCTATCTCTGATTCATAGCTCAGATGCTACATATAGCTTTCCATTAGAATAGTTCAATATCAATTTTATTTAATTAGTAAAGATTTTCCATAGAATGATAGGATTGCCCCCAGTTGAGAGCCAGGACTTAGGTACCTATTAGTGTACCTGATGGGTTTAGGAGTTAAACTATATTATGGATCCTGTGGGAAAAGCTGACGTTTCATCACTATGTTGTTCCATGAGTCTTTCTTGAGGCATTTACAAAGAGAAAGCTTTTTTAGATTTCTGTCACATAGTTGCTATCACATTAATCAAGTCTTGTTTCTATCGTGAGTTGTAAAACATTGTGATTTAGATGTAGCTTTAATCAGTATTAGTCATTTTTTGGACTTGATGCTGGTAGTTTTCAATGGGGTTAGGGGGGCTGGAGGATGGGGGGCAGTTTGCTCCTCAGCAGGATAACACCTTTGTGAACTGGTTCTGGCTCAGGACTTTTGTGAAAAGGTTGTATTGCCCGGGGTGGGAGGGGGGATGGGTGTGGGGGGGAATAAAACATGACTGCAGCCTTAAAGTTGAGTCCCTGTGAGTGGTCACTAAAACATCTTCATTTTATAGAATATAGAATATCTGATGAATTAATTGTTATTAAAGCAGACAAGTATGCATTAAAAATTCTGTGTTAGCATAGAAGTATAATGTTAATGTAATAGTTGATGTCGCGAAGGGTCTAACTGCTTGGCCAAAGATGTATTAAAAAGTTATCTTGAAGCTTTGTGGGAGGGTTCATATCATATCCATAGCTTTGAATTCATGCTGTGTCCAGAAGGACTTGGAAATGCCTTCCAGCCTACAGGGTGATAACATGTAAGATGGGATGTTTCCTCTCCTTCTAAAGCTCTCATTGGTGCCTTTTGGATTGTAGTCCTTAATTAATTGGTGCTTGGTAATAGGAAGTATATATAGAATACACCAATACAAAAATATGTAGGAATTCTCCACATTGTATTCCCTTCCTAGTTATTCATTTTTAATGTCATAAATTTTCAGTAGAGGTAATTCTGGCACAAAATACTTTTTCTGAATATGTCTCTTGGGAAGCAGTTTTATAATGTGCATGTTGATGTTCCAAAATGCAAAAGCAGGAGGAAAAAGACTATATGAAAAAAATAGGAAATGGTTGTAATTTGTTTTATCATTTAAAAAAAATGTACAGATAATTAATACACTAATATATGTATAGTCCATATTAATGTGTTTTTTATTTGATCCTGTCATTTTAAAAAGTATTTGCATTTTGGAATGGAGTTATTTCAAAAGCAAAGAAGAAATGAGACATTTGCATAGATGAACACCTAATACTATGAAGTTATTTCTCTGCTGAAATAAATGACTCTATTCCCTTAAAAAATAGAAAAAGGTATACTGATCAAAAGACAATGCTAGTTAGAGACTGATTTTTTTTTTCACTAGAACACACAGGATACTTGGGGTCCAGACAGCTTTAGTTTTATGGCCCGATAGTGCTTTGTCTGAACTAACACAGAGAGTATTTACACTGGCATGATAAACTGCAGTGTCTAAGCGTCTGGATTTGGACTGCCTGGGTTTGAATCCTGGCTCCTCCACTTACCTTCCGTGGAACTGTGGGCAAGTTACTTAGACCTCAGTTTTCTCACTAAAAATGGGAACAGAAATAACACCTACGCCATAAGGTTTTTATGAGGATAAAATGAGTTCATACTTGTAAAATGCTTAGGACAATACAGTTGCCACCTTAGGAAAGTCAGATTGCTGAGCAAATGTAAATCAAAAGGTAAGCTTTGGTAAACTGCATAGATGCACTACTATTGAAACCCTTATCTGGACTCTGACGTCTGGATACATGGTTTCTTTAATTAAGTGAAACAGGGCAGCTCTTGCTTTATCTTAGCCACCAACCTGCTTTTTCAGGATGCCCTTTTTTAGTACAAGATAAAGGGTCAATGGTCTGTTATGGAAGTTCTTTTCAATATATCATTATCTTATATTTTTATTGCTAATTTTTGGCTTATAAATTCCAACCATTAAATTCTGGACATGGAAGAAAATGTGTCATTTGGTGATTTATTGAGATCATAGGATATAAAATTTTAGATGCTATGAAACTTTCAGATTTGTAACGGGCTAATATGAGGGGTACTTTGTGGACCTGTTTTCTAACCTATTCCCCAAAAAGCACATATTTTAGAGACGCTAATGAAATTGATAAAAATTCAGTTTTATTTTTAGTACTATCTAGACATTAGATATGTCATCAACAGTGAATTGGAAGGTGATTTTTAAAAGATGTTTTAATTCCAGCGTTAAAATATAAAAGTTTCAGAATCCTTTGATTTAGTTTACTCTAGTTTCATTTGGTAGAGCTGCTAAAAAGTCAAGAGGAATTATTGAACATTTATCCCATGAGGCATATTAAAATAGGGACTTTTACAGAAGTCTTTCATTTAGTTTCTGGATGCTCTTACATAGGACAGGAATAACACTTACTTGGAAGAAGGATGCCTTCAGTCGTTTCCTCACACTGTCGTCATTGTCAGTACCTACCAATGCCATCCACTTGTGTTTCCCAAAAGTACAGAGCTGTTAGAACTTTTTGCCAGAAAGACTTACAAGTCATGCTACCAACACAGGGTTTTAAAAAGGTATTCTTTTATTTATTCCTGACCTGTTTAGCCTAGACAATATGATTTTTTTTGTCCATTTTACTTAAACTTCTGACTTAATGTTTCATTTGGTTTTACAATTTTAATTTATGCAATGGATATTTGTTAAGTGCTTACTATTATTTTCTAGTTACTGTACCAGGAGCTAGAAATACATCCATGAATACTGGACATTTAGCAACTAACTGCCAGTAAGATAGTGTTACCAAAATGAAGATACAGAGTACGTCAGGAGTGTTTATCAGAATATAACTGTTATTTACAGAACATTTAAATCACAGTTTCCAAAAGGGAAATACTTGAATTAGTACTTTCCAAAGTAGAAGTAAAGGTGAACATATTTATTCAGTATTACACGGAGTTTTGAACCATGGACACATACTGGGGTTAAAATATTATCTAGGATACATAACAAAGGGGGTTTGACTGTATTCAGATATGTGCATCAGCTGCTTTTGGAAGTACATCATGACACTTGCTAACTGTGTAGCAGCTCAAAGGTATGTCTCTCACTTAGCTAATCCAGAAGGAATATTTCTAGGCAGATAGATCACGATTAGAGATAACTGAATTACCTGATGTCCAAGAGTACGAAAAAGAAATAAAACGATGACACAGGCAGGTGCTGAATTGCTCTCCTGACTGTTGATGGCCTCAGCACTACTGAGGCAGAGTTGTGGCTTTTCTAGCTCCACTTCCTTTCTGACTTAAGTACGGACTCTTCTTGACTCCATCAGAGGTCCTGTATCTTCACTTGGTGATATCAGCCCCTGTAAATATTGTTATCTTCATCGTTTTCTCAGGAAAGCTCAGACGCTTTGAAACTTAATATGATCACCACTAACAGTCACAGTTCCTACACGGTGTTCCAGCTGCTAACATAATTGGTCTCAGAAGTAAGTTTGAGTCATAATGACCTTTTATTGCAGATAGGCCTAGCATAACTTAGGAATGTTATTTCCTAGGAAATGATACTTTTAGAGCAGATCAGCATTTCCATTTGTTTGTTTCATAAAGCACTAATGTAGAAAGATGTCACACCCTCAAACTCCCCCAAAATTGGAAAAGGTGATTATGGGGTCAAATGATTTAAATAAGTGAGGGCGTATCTATATATTACTTCACTCTTGGAGAGTCATAATGCATACCAGCATAGTATAGTCTCTGTGAAGTCCTGCTATAAAGAAATGTTGCATATTTTTTATCTTAACGTAGCCAATCTTATTGACCGCAGTTTTTTCTTAATATATCACCTAATAACAATAATACCAAGGTTAACTGTTCCACGTTTATTCAGGTTCCTTTCTGCCATGATCCAGATATTGGTGGCTCACAATTTGTAGACAGATCTTAACAGCCACAGGCAGTGAGAAGCTATCTTTATCAGCCTTTTCTATAAGAGTGTAAGGAAAGCTCTTTATAAGCCTTCTATGGAACACTTACATTGCTTAGAATACACTTTTAAATTTTTTTAGCAAAGCCTGAGTTAATTCCTTAAGCAATCTTTGCTCCTCTGTATACATGCTTCTGTTCCTCAGGTTAGGACTTGAAATGGTTGGCTTCTGTGGAATGAGTAGAAACCGGTGAGCTTCTCATGACTGGGCTGTGGCTTGGGTTGCATTTTTCCTAGGATATGGTGGCCTGGGTGACCGGTGTGCCTAGTGACGCATTGCGCCATGTTGCCTGAAGCTTGTGCTTGCCCATGGCAGAACTTGTGAATGGCTTGTGCTACCATGTCGTGGAGCAGTCCATCTTCTGTGGTTCTCCTTGCAAGTTACGTATTTATTTGCTTTCCACAGCGATGGAGAAGGGAGAAAAAGGACCTCGTCTACTTGCAGTAATGAATCCCTAAACGCTGGAGGAACCCCTGTCACCCCTCGTCGAATCTCCTGGCGGCAGCGCATTTTCCTCAGGGTTGCTTCTCCCATGAACAAATCTCCCTCAGCGATGCAGCAGGGTCTGTGTGGTACACACTAAAGAATTATGCCTTCCCGGTATCATAAACTAGGGAATGGAATGCAGTGCTTTGGGTACAAAGAGATTTAAGTGATTACAGTAGAGAAATAACTTGTTTCTGTATCTGATATAGTGGTTAGCTTCTCAGTTATCATTAGAACATATTAGACATTCAGTAAATGCTTGTTGAGTGAATGATTAAGTTTCCCAGACTGAGCACTATGATAGTGCTAGAAAAGCATAGATCTTTTTATTATTAGAAAATTTAACCTATGCTTTTACAAGAGTCACATATAAAACGAAGTGCCATAGATATGTTGAATGATAGAGAAATGGATACAGATACCCTAGGAAAATATCAACCAAAAGATATTAGACCTATTAGAAATTAAAGCAGAGACATCCAAAAGGGCAAAGTAAATATAACAATAAACAAAGATAAAACAGTGATGAGAACATGCATAATTACGCAGCCTTGAAAGCTAGAAAATAGAACTTTACAGAACGTTTGGGAGAAATGAATCAGTAGCTCTCGTGGGAGATTTTAACATATTCCTCTCTGAAAATTAAATACAGAGAAGGTAAATATAATATTTGAGAAATACAATTAAACAAGCTTGATCTAATATTTATACAGAGCCTTGCCCGCTGTAGGGTAAGTTCATTCATTCTTAGCACACATGGAACATTCCTAAAAATTAATTATGTACTTGGCTACAAAGGCAATTTAGTAAAAACAGTCATAAATATTCATACTGTATTCTCTGATTATAGTGCAAAAAAAAAAGGAAGCAAGAATTGGAAGACAACTAAAATATTTCATGTGCTTGGAAACTGAAAACTACTAGAAACTAGAAGGAATAAAACATGTTCAGAGCCCTACATATCAACATTGAGTGATATTTAGAGGGCATTTCTAAAATCAGGAAAGACAAAACTCAAATATACTAAGTATTCAATTCAAGAAGCTAGAAAAGGAGCTATAGAGTAAAATTTTTTAAAAATTGTTTATTAAGGAAATGATAAGGGCAGAAGTCAGTGAAGAAAAAGAAACGAGAAAACAACTGACATTTCTAGAGAAAAAAATTAACTCTGCCTAGGGTGGCCAGAGAAAGCTTCACAGAGATGTTGGATATTTATATTTAAACTCATTGCTGGGAGAAGCGTATTTCAGAAAGAGGGGCTAGCAGAGGTCTGACGTCAATGGAGAGAATTTTGCAGGTCAGAGAATCGTGAGAAATTCAGCATGATGGGAGCAGAGGATGGGAGATAGAAACAGAGGCCGGAAGGGTTCCAGGAGGCCAGAGTCTGAAGCCGTCTATATGCTATTTGCAGTGATTTAGACTTTGTGCTTTTGGATACAAGCAACCGTTGAAATGTTTTAAGAGACACAATCACGTTTGTTAATAGGAAAATAGTTGGCAGGAGTGCAAAAGATGGCCTGGAACAGAGGGAGAGAGTGAGCTGCAGGATTGGGTAAGAGAATGTTGCAGGAGCGAGCCGAGGGACCGAGCCAAGACCTGCCCCGTGTTGCTCACAGCGCTCTTCTCTTGCCGGTCTCTGATGGTAGATGGAGACCTTTAGGAGATCGCTGTTACCTGCTCATGTTATCTTTTTGCTTTGCACAATCAGAGAATGTACAAAGATAAATTGCAGAAGTGTTGGGCTCTGGGAAATGCCAGTTCACTTTAGAGCACCTATCTTATAGGTCATTTTGTGCAGAAAGAAGAAGTGGCGAAATTGCATGTGCTTTCGTTTCACTGCGAGAGGAAAATCTGGCAGGGGAATTTAGTCTAGTGAATTTACTTAAATCGTTAGTTCCAGAAAGGCAGTTACTGGGAAAGTGGTTTTGTGAAAAGCTTTAAAGGTGGAAGATAGGATGAGAGAACACCAGTTCTAGACAAAGCTTCCGTCGTCTGGGTAACTAGTCAGGAATGCCTCTCACTGTTTTCTTCTCTGCAGATGGACTGGACAGGAACGAACTGCTACCACTATCCCCTCTTGCTCCAACCATGGAGGAGGAACCACTGGTTATATTCTCACCTGACGAAGATGACCCAGAGAAGGCTGAAGAAAGAAGGAAATCAGAAGAACTGAGGAGTTTGTGGAGAAAAGCCATACACCAACAAATCTTGTTGCTTCGAATGGAGAAAGAAAACCAGAAACTTGAAGGTTAGCCATTCAAACAGGGCTAAATGATATGATACTATAATGGAAGGTTTTAGGTTAAAACCACCCCCAGTCTCTCCCACCCATTCTCAGAATGTGAATACACTTTTACTAGGATTTTACTGGCTATAATCGCTTAGTTTTATTTTTGTGAGGTTGCTATGCCGTGGGAATGTTCAGCTTAAAATATTTACATTTTTGTTTAATAGATAAAACATCAGACACCTTTAGAGTATATTTGGGTAACAGAGGATGTAGATAGTGTGGAGTCAATGTATTTGATATGACTGAAAGTTTAGTATTATTGTGCATAACTTAGGAGAAAAACCCTTAAACATGAAAAAACACATTCTCTTCTTTTTGAAATTGATTCAACTTTTAGGATCATTGTATTTATAATAGAAGAAATGTGCCTATTTCAAATAAATTGTTTTGTACCCAGTTCAACTAATTACCTGTTATCAAGTCAAAGTTCCTATTTTTTGTTGTTGGCTTTATACATTTCCTATTTAACAAATCATATTCAAATCTTTATTAAATTTATATTTGGATAATTTACAGTACCTACTGTGCCATTTCTGGTGCTTTACTGCTTAGTTTATGAATACCAAATGCTTTAGAATGCGTTCTCCAGATTTTGAAAGAGTGTTGTTTACCCCAGTATGAAGCACACATAAGGAGATGGGCAGGCAGTACCCAAACTCAAAAAACATATTCATGTTATTATATTTGGCAATTCACTTAACCTAAAAGGACCTTGTTTTTCACATTTGTAAAATGAAAGATTTAGCTTAAGTGGGCCCTTTGGCTTACAAGATTATTGGAAAATGTACAACCTAGGTTTTTCTCTGGCTTGCTTTTATTATGGTGTCTTCCAAAAAGTTTTTTTAGTACAGGCATTCACATTTCTGTGTTCATCACCTGTCTTAAGATTCCTCTTACTACACTTATTATTCAATTTGGTTTTTAAATTGCACAATACTTAGTTTGCAAGCCAACAGTGTATTTTCTTTATGGTTGTTTTCTTGGCAGGATGGAAAGTATATGAGGTTTTAAATAACCCTAGCAAATGAATTTTCTTTAAAATTAAAACCCCAATTAATTGTTATTGATACAGCTTTTAAAAGGTTGATGTGATAAATGGTATGCCCACTCAAGCTTTTATAGGTTTTGATAGGAATTACATTCATATTCAGGATAAGACAAGAGGTGACATTTAGGAGATATGATCAGAAACCCTTATTAGTTCTGTATTTCTTAAGTAACAAAGACAAAAAATAGTTGAGCTGTTTAAAATTCTAGTCAATGGATAATCATTTATTGATGGTTCTTTGTTTTTTGCCTAGTTAACCAGGTGAGGACAGATGTTGACTGCTCTTACCCAGCATTTTATCCTCAGGGCCCGAAGCTGGCACATAGGCCTTGATTATTATTTTAAATGAATAATGATCTAGAGAAGGTTGCGGGGGGACAAAAGGAAATGTGCTTTGTCCACTGTAAAAAAAAAATCATTAGTAAACTTACATATAGGGTTATATTAATTATTTGCTTTAATGAACCCACTTCTTGAAAAAAAATTATTTGATTATCATAGAGAAATATAAAGCAAATATTGAGAAGCAAAGCTAAACTCTGCTAGAAAGCCATCTAGTGGTATCCAGGAGGAGTATTTTTGTAATAAAACTTACTTTTGATTATGTCTGGACTTTGAAGTAGAAACTTTTAGCCTTACTTGAATAGCAGTATTATAAGATATTTAAGTTCTTTGAAATGGTTTCAAACACAGTAAGTAAAGGGAAATACTCATTCTGCTATTGTTTTTGTGCTGTCGAGGACTTTGGATGCATGACAAAGATTTGTGTTGCAGAAGGTAAGGGGTTGAGCACTGTGAACTTGAATGAATACACATCGATCTGAGAGACTCTTGGTCAGTGTGATCCTGAGGAAAGAGAAGAAAAAATAGCTAAATGTTTTTTCTTCATTTTCCCTTTTGGAATCAGTTATTGAAGATAAAGAACACATCAAAATAGTGTTGCTTTTCGAGGCCCTTTTTTTTTTTTTAAGATTTTTATTTATTTGAGAGAGAGAGAGAGAATGAGAGAGAGAGAGCATGAGAGAGGGGAGGGTCAGAGGGAGAAGCAGACTCCCCGCAGAGCAGAAGCCCGATGTGGGGCTCCAGGATCATGACCTGAGCTGAAGGCCATCGCTTAACCAACTGAGCCACCCAGGCGCCCCTTCGAGGCCTTTTTTAAATGAGCTCTGGGCTTATGTTTTAGGCCATCAAATGAGAGAGAATTCTGTACTATTTTTAAAAATGGAAGTAGTGTTAATTTCAGTGAAATGAAGTTTCCTCTTTAAGTTTATTAAATATGAACACAGAGACACATGGCTTAGCGTTTTTAAAGGCAGTATTAGTAACTCTGGAAATAGAAAAATTTATCGGGTTTCATGGTCAAATATTTCTCTAATTAAGGTTAGCAGGAGGCATTGTTTTCTCCTATATGTCATATATAAAATGTATATATATAAAATATATAAAACACTAATGGTGTTGAAAATGATGCAAGTTGTTACTTCTGAGGCTACCACATTTGTCAAAAAAAATTGCAATGTAGAGCCTAGCAAACATGGTTTGTTTTTTATGCTTAGCAGAGTTCCCATCTGTAAGATACAGAAGTGAAACATCCTTAGGAAGCTATTCCTGATAACTTTTTTACATGAAATGACTCAAAATTTTGGAACCGTCCGTGTATCCTCGATTTTTTTTAAGTTTACTTTTTGATCAGATGTTAGCGGTTGATTCCTAAAAGTCCTTTGGTATGATTTTACAAATACAACAAAATGTTAAAAATATTGTGTTTTCAGAATACATGGGTTTTACATAAATTGTTTTGTTTTTCTTAGCAAGCAGAGATGAACTCCAGTCCAGAAAAGTTAAACTGGACTATGAAGAAGTTGGTGTATGTCAGAAGGAGGTCTTAATAACCTGGGATAAGAAGTTGTTGAACTGCAGAGCAAAAATCAGATGTGATATGGAAGATATTCATATTTCTCTTAAAGAAGGTATTCTGGATCTTTTTTTTTTTTTTGGAGTATAGTTGATGCACAATGTTACATTAGTTTCAGGTGGATCATCGTAGTAATCTTTTTTTTTAAAGATTTTATTTATTTGAGAGAGAGAGAGAATGAGAGAGAGTGAGCACAAGCAGAGGGTGAGGGGCAGAGGGAGAAGCAGACTCCCTGCTGAGCAGGGAGCCTGATGTGAGACTTGATCCCAGGACCCTGGGATCATGACCTGAACTGAAGGCTGATGCTTAACTGACTGAGCCACCCAGGCGCCCATGTAATAACCTTTTATAAAGAAAATGTTTAGAGATTTTTTTTTTTGATTGTGTAGCTCAGGCATATGTGCTTTGCCTATAAAAAAAGGGAAGTGATTTGCTTTTGACCACAGTCAGTGACTCAGTTGGGAAGAAAACAGTGCTAATGGAGAGACTGTCCTTGAGGAGTTAGGAGACACCTTTCCTATAGATTTTTCTGACTTCTTCAACCAGCTGTTCTTAGCCCTGTGTTGCTGTTTACCAAGGAAGGAGTGAATGCATTGGTACAGACCTTAGATTATATCCATAAAAATAATTTAGACTTATAAACTTGACTTATTTCCATCATTTGGTCAGAAGGGTTTATATTTATGTGTCTATGTCAATGTATTATGTATATTCACCTACGTGTATCTGTATACATAAACAGATTCATATTTTTATTAATCAATCAGTTTTCCTTCCATCTATGTGATCCTTTGTTTATCTTGGAAAACTTGCTTTTATTTAGCCATTATACTGCATTGCTGCTCTGCCATATAAACTGACTGATATTTAAACATCCTAAGTGTAAAATTAAAACTAGCATGTGAATATTTGAGGTGCATTTCTGTGACCCAGATATTAAAATGAGAATCTCCATGGCCTGTATAAACTGAGTGTAAAATAAAAATCCAAAAATAGCCAAAGAAATATGATAATGAATCTTGTTTTAAAAGCTTATGATTAACGTGTGAAACTTGCACAGTTAAGTTTAAATGAAGTTGAGAATAATTTTGTAAGATACTACATTTACAAGCCTAATATATTGGGTTTTTTTTTTCCCTTGAAGATATGAAAGTCCTAAAGATTTTCATTGACTGTATTATTTGGGACACAGCAGTGCTTAATAGAATGTGTGTGAGATGTCGATCACACCATTCTTTGGAATGACTTTTAAAGGATTTTGGGGGTGCTCATCTTTCCATTTCTTATAGAACACATTTTAAACTTTTTTTTAAAAGCTATTTACTTATTTGAGAGAGAGAGTGTGCATGAGCAGTGGGAGGAACAGAGGGAAAGGGAGAGGATCTCAGGCAGGCTCCACACTCGTATCCGGTGCTCCAGAGAGGCCGAACCTACTCTGGGTCCCAGTGTATCTCCCAGGCTGTTTCTTGCATGGAATGCTCCAGTTCTCCCTACATTCCTTCTTCCTTACATCTCTACCTGCTCCCCATTTCCCATCATCCCTTTATTTCCATCCCTACTCCTTCTCACTTTTCCTTTCTCTCCCCATTCCTTGCCCATCTGAGCGTGTTCAAACATTCCTCTTCCTTTTTCTTAATAACTGATTTCTTTTTTTAAAAGATTTTATTTATTTATTTGACAGAGAGAGAGAGCACAAGCAGGGGGAACAGCAGAGGGAGAGGGGGAGAGAGAATCTCAAATAGGGGGGAGAAGGGCAGAGGGAGAGGGAGAAGCAGGCTCCCCACTGAGCAGGGAGCCCACCTCGGGGCTCAATCCCAGGACCCTGGGATCATGACTTGAGCCGAAGGCAGATGCTTAACCGCTAACCGACTGAGCCACCCACACGACCCAACATTCCTCTTCCCAAAGGGATTGCTGCCCACCCTGGAAAATTCTATTATCTTTTTGTTCTCAGTTCAAATACCATTTCTTCAGAAATAGTATGCCCTTTTTTCTCTTCCACCAAAACAAATTAGTTTCACTTTATTTTTTCTCATGATTCTTTCCCTTTAATTGTGCTTATCATAATTTGTAACTTTGTGTTTATGTATGTATTTGTTTAATGTTTTTCTCACCCCACCGCTGCATACCTAGCACCTAAAAAGCATCTTGCACAACTTATTTACTGAATGAATACATGGATGAATAAATGAATGAGACTAATTCCTGAGAATGGATTTATTCATCTTCCAGGGATGAAGTATCCTTCTTACCATTCTCTGTACTTTGCTACATGTTAGATGTTCAACAAATACTTATTTAGCTGAAGTGAATTGCCTTCTTGCAAAATTGTTATTAGATGGATAATAAAACAGTCCACTCATGTTATTAGAGATTCATTTAATGGGCTAATGAAAGTTACCCCAAAAATGACATTTTACATGTGATCATTCATTCATTTGTCGAACACATGTTTAGGTAGCAAAGTATATTTTTGGTTTTCATCAGACAGAGATGAACATTTGCTCGCTATTCTCAAGAAGCTCACCAGCAAAGTGGGGAAAATAGGCAAACATGCAGTGTAGAGCTAATCCAATATAGTGATGTTAGAGTATGTGTCAAATAGTATGTGAAAAGGAAATTATTACTCCTAGAGATGTGAGAAGGAGCTTCAGCAGAAGAATGGCATTCAGGCTCAGCCATAAAAGATAAATAGGAAAACACTGTGCAATCAAGTGGGGGAACTTGGAAGTCCATAAGGCAACAGTAGGAACAAGAAACTGGAGGTGAGAAAATAACCATATGCTTCTTTTACTTAGTGTATGGTGCAGAATGGGAGGTAATGGAACGGAAGAAGGTAGTTTGGAGGTATATTGTGGAGGGCCTTATAAATCATGTCAGTGAGCCTGAGTTATACCTTTTGGACAATAATACTTTTGGTTTATGCAAACAATCGTACTGAAGTTCAAAAAGATCAGTGTCATTAAACCTTCCTTAATCAGCTGGGAGCTCAGAAACCTATTCCCCATCCAGTTTACCTGAACTGAAAATACTTTGTGAGGTAGGATATCTGCGCTATACAGAATTGAATTATATGCCAAAGAAAATGAAGTGCTTACTTCATTTTCATTGGCATAAAAAACAAAGATGTTTTGGGGGGAGGGCACCTGGGTGACTCAGTTGGTTGAGTGTCCAAATCTTGGTTTCAACGCAGGTCATGACCTCGGAGTCATGAGATCAAGCCCCACGTCTGCTCCCTGCTCAGCATGGAGTCTGCTTGGGATTCTTTCTCCCTCTCCTTTTACCCCTCCTGCCCCTGTGCTCTCTCTCTCTCTCAAATAAATAAAAGAAAAACAAAACAAAACAAAGTTTTGGTATACTTTGAAATGCTTGTGATACCCTTTGGTTCTCGAGCAAAATGGAGTTAATGTTTCATTATCTATATGCTGGATGATGTCTTGTCAGAGGAGGTTCTGGAGCACTCCAGTTAAGCCTTCATGTTGTACTGACCATTCTTATTACATATTTAGAAATTATAAGTATTGACATTTGTTACTTGCTTCAAACCAAATGAAAGATGGGAATAGACAGTGATACGTTTCATGATTTCAGAATTTGGCCTCTGAAGCCAGACTCGGGGAGTTCTAATTCTAAACTTCTATTTGCTAAGTATGCAAACTTGGGCAAGTTGCTTAGCTTCTTTCTGCCTCAGCTTGGCCATCTGTAAAGTGGGGATAATAGTAATTGCCTATCTCATTGGGTGGTTTTCTGAGCATGGGTACAACGCTGAGTAGTAAGGCACCCTCGGTGAATGTTATATTAGGTGCCCGATCAGTGTTGGCTAATGTTGTTAACATTGCCTTTATTACTACTTGAGGGTTTTCTTTCATAAGACATGCAGTTACAGGATTAAACTTGTCAGAATATGCTTCTGTCAGTATATCATACTGTATGACCAGAGGGTGGCATGCAGGACATTACAGCTGCCTGTTTTCAAGCATTACAAAGTTCCTCAGCTGAGATTTAGCAACTTCATTCCAGAGTTCGAGACCTTGCTTTTTTATCTTTGCAGGTGTTCCCAAAAGTCGACGAGGAGAAATTTGGCAGTTCCTAGCTTTACAATATCGTCTAAGGCATAGGTTGCCCAATAAGCAACAACCTCCTGACATATCCTATAAAGAACTTTTAAAGCAGCTCACTGCTCAACAGCATGCTATTCTTGTGGATTTGGGTATGTTTGTTGTATTGACTATTGTACAAAAGTAAATAATAGGTCCCTTTGTTGAGTTTTTTGGGGGGTTTTGCTTGGGTTTTTTGTTTTTTGTTGTTGTTTATTGTTTTGTTTTGTTTTGGTGTTGCTAAAGAAGATCTGTTGAATTATGCAGAGCTGCTGACTTTGCCCTTTCTTGAGGACAAGTTGGCTCTATATCTGGTTGAAGATACTGTAAGTGCCTGAATACAGAATGAAGTTTTCATCCCCAAACTTGCCCCACCAAAAGGGTGTTATATTTAAATCATTATAAAGGTCATATTATCAGATACTCCCAGTTCCTGTATTTTGAACAACTGATTTTTGTTTGAGATAGACATTTATCTTCTCAATCAACACTGGTTTTAAAATAGAATAGGTTAAAAGGGGCACTAAAAAATTTAAACAAGCCTTTGAATATCACTTTAAAAAGCAATACAATAAGTAGTTATGTTGTGGAATCATGAATACATCCCTATAGGATGAAAGAACAATGAGCCGTCCTAATAGTACGTGAATGGGTACTTGTGACTGGGGGAGAATTTCCAGTGACAGCATCATAAAGCTGTCTTTTTAAATGCTGAATTTCAAATAACTAATGGAAAGTAAAAATAGTGTGCTTTTTAAGATTTTTTTTTTTTTTTTATTTGAGAGAGAAAGAGAGAGAGAGAGCACGAGAGGGAAGAGGGTCCGAGGGAGAAGCAGACTCCCCGCTGAGCAGGGAGCCCGATGCGGGACTCCATCCCGGGACTCCAGGATCATGACCTGAGCCGAAGGCAGTCGCTTAACCAACTGAGCCACCCAGGCGCCCAAAATAGTGTGCTTTTAAAAATTACATTGTCTCTAGTTTTTCTCTAACTTAGGATATTATAATATATATTTTATTATTTAAGAATGCCTGATTGGATTAAATATTGTACATTGGCATTTGACTATTTCATCTGTATCCCTAAGAGTTGATGTATTTAAAGTGGCCAAATATGTTACTTGAGCCCATTTGGGAAAATAAGGGATTACCTTATATTTGGGATCATCTTTTATTAGGGCATATAAAAATCACTGGCCAAAACCTAGTTTGAATCTCTGTTCCCTTTGGATGATAAACAACTTTTGTTGGGAAAGGACCCAACTCAGTTAATACTTTTTGAGTCAATATTTTTTGAAAAGGGGAATTTTACCGAGACACTAAAGACTTCAGTTCTTGTCTGATTCTACCACTAAACTGTGGTTTTAGGCAAATTACTCTGCTTCTGAGTCTCAATCCTCTCGTTTAAATGGGCAGTCCCTCTGGATGCCCACAGATCTCTGGTTCTGTGACTAGAAGTTGATGACCAGACTAGAAATTGGGATGGTTCATTTAGGGCTAATCAAGATGTCCTAATAAAGAGAAGGCAATGAGGAGATCAGGTTATCAGGGAAGGCTGGTCAGGAAAAAAAATGGAGCTAGAATTAATGTCTCAGAGAGAGAGTACATTTGTAGTTTTCTTTAGCAAAAATTTTAAGTAATGAAGTAAAATGATAATTAAAAAAATCGTTGATTTAACTCTCCTTGTAGCCATCTGTGTCTCCTCAGTGTGTTCTTATTTTCTCCTATCTTCCCCTTGCTCTGCAGAATTAATCTTATCAGTTCCTGGGGAAAAAAATAAACGAAGATCACTTTTAAGCATATGTGGTGGAAAACATTTAAAGATCTGGCATTCTTACCAGTTCTCACTAACATGAGCAGTCATTTCGCAAGCAAGCTACTAGCCCCTTCGTTTGTATGGCCTAAGGAAAGCCCCAAGCCAGTGTACACAGCTTTGGTGATGAAGATGGCTTTGTCTCAGTATTTAGTACCAGCTTGTCAGTGATCCGGGACTGATTTTGTTTGCTTGCTGGGCTGTCTCTGTGGTCATTTTATGCTCAGAGGTGAATTTTGGAGGGGAATTTATTTGAAGTCAGCTTGACCCTTTGCTTTACTTGTCCTTTTCCAATATATTGAAAAAAGAAAAGAGGTCTACATGGCTCATGGAGGTGGTTTAAGAGAACAAAGGGCATTTGAAAAAAGGAGTGTTTCCTGAAAGATAGGCTGAATATAAAACAAAACAACTTCAAAAAGTCCCTCCAGTGTCATATTACAGGAAAAATCTGCTTATGGACTGCTAGGATTTCCTTTTAAATAGAGACCTTTTTTAAGAATATGATTTCAGTCAGAGAGTGGGTTTTTTTCTTTCTTTCTTTCTTTTTCTTTCTTTTTTTTTTTTTAGAGGGAGAGAGAGAGAGAGCGCAAGCAGGGGGTGGGGGTGGGTGTGGTGCAGAGGGAGAGGGAGAGAAAGAATCTTAAGCAGGTGCCACGCTCAGCGTAGAGCCCGTCGTGATGCAGGGCTTGATCTCACAACCCTGAGTTCATGACCAGAGCTGAAATCAAGAGCCGGACGCTTAACCGACCGAGCCACCCAGGCGCCCCGAGGGTGGTCTTTATGTGAAGTTAAGGAGGGCACGCTCTGCGTGGAGCACTGGGTGTTATACGCAAACAATGAATCATGGAACAGTGCATCAAAAACTAATGATGTAATGTATGGTAATTAACATAACATAATAAAAAAAAAAAGAATTTGCCTTGATTTGTAGCCAGAATAGATTTTATATTCTATTTTTCTGGGATCTCTCCTGGACACGTCCTTGATCTGTTTGTGAATTTGTTGTTGTTATTTTCTAGAAAGTGCTTGTTAGAATTAAATGTTTGCTTCCCTTTCATATGTGTAGAGATGGAGGGTGGTCAGGCAGGTAGGATTGAGGGCTTGCTAGAGAGAGAGAGACTCTTAGATGGGTATTCCAAGCAACTCTCACTGGTTCAGAAAAGAAGGTTTGTTTCTTCCTGGAAATCACTGCATTGCAATTTCACTTTTGTCTCCCAAGCATCAGGATATCTGAATAATATTTCTCTTCTCTTCCTCTGCAGGAAGGACATTTCCTACTCATCCTTATTTTTCAGCACAGCTTGGGGCAGGGCAGCTCTCACTCTTTAACCTCTTGAAAGCCTACTCACTGCTGGACAAAGAAGTGGGTTACTGTCAGGGGATCAGCTTTGTGGCTGGAGTCCTGCTTCTGCACATGAGTGAAGAGCAAGCCTTTGAAATGCTGAAATTCCTCATGTATGACCAGGGCTTCCGCAAGCAGTACAGACCTGACATGATGTCGCTGCAGGTGAGGCACACGGGAAGCTGTTATGAGCAATCATGGCAATAGCCCTCTTCTACCTCACAGTAAGACTGAACGAAATTTGGACCCATTGTCTTGGAATTCGTATAAGTGTAGAGGCGTGTTTTGAGTTCACCCTTTTAGTGTAGGATTTGCCCTTTGGCTAAACCTGTAAGTGTATGACAGTGTGTATGCAGAAAAACCCTTCCATGAAGTTCCTTAAGTGAATAAATAAGCAATTCTAGAAAGGTAGTGGGTGGATACTCAAGTCTCTCTCCCCTAAGTCTGCAAGTGGAGATGGAGAAAGAATCAAGTCCTCTTAATTCACTTTCCCTCAACCTGTCAATTGAAAAGAATCATAAATCTTTTTTTTTTAAATCTAAAAATATAATGTGGTTTTGTTTTGTTTTGTTTACTGTGAATACATCAGTGGCAGGCAGCTGTTTCATGGTTCTTCTTGAACTTACCATGTCTCCCTTCCTTTACTTAATGTCAGATAGAACCTTCTGGAGGAGAAGGTGTCCAAAGTCAGTGGTACTTTTCAGTCTGCTTTTCTTAGCATGCACTGAACAAATAACCGTTAAGATGTTGTAGTCATTTTAAGTGGGGTATTCGCTGCCGCTGTGATCGCCAACCTATTTCAGACTCCCTGTATACACATTTCTCCCTTCTAGTTTAAAGTCCACTTTTCTTAATGTATTGGTTTCTAACAAGCTGTTTAAATTTTATCTATAGATATGATGTCACAAACAGCCACTACCTGTCAATTTAAAGCTTTTAGTAGTGAAAATATAAAGACTTTAAAGAGAGGAATGTCAGAATTCACCTCCTTTGAAATGGGGTGGGCAAGATGCCCAGTTAGTCATAATATTATGCTGTAGATAAGAAGTAAAATATTTTAAAAATGCTTTTCAAATATACTCTTTTCTGCTTCCCAAGGATCAGTTTTTACATTTAGTATTTTAGGTACCAATCTATAGACAAAAAAGCACTGGGTTTTCACCTTGTGAATATTACAGTAAGTGGTATTTTCTTGAGAAGATCAGTTGTGAAGAAGTGGTCCATTTTTCTTCTTTAAGATGAAAGTTTTGCTAGGGAGGTAGGTAGGGCTTTCCTCTCAGCTTTGGGTTTTCAGGTGTTGAGTTCATATGAAGGGCCTTCACCAGGGATATGTAAATATAGTGATTTGATTCCTAGTTGATGACTATTCATAGGTCTGTTAACATTCCACAAGTCAAATAATGACAATGGAAGGTTTTATGTTTTACTTTATTTCTAAAGTTTATCTGTATCTCATGTTGGATAGGAAGCATTGGTGCCTTTGTAAGGAATTAAGTATCTCTGATTTCCAGAAATAAGTTTATATCTAATAATAAAAATTTTAAAGAATGGAAAGTATCTGTGAGTCATGTTTGATTTAGGTCCATAAATAGAAAGATAGATGCAATTATCACTTTAAAAATGCAGTGATTTTTCTTTTTTTCTTAAGATTTTATTTATTTGAGAGAGAGAGAGAAAGAGAACACAGAGGAGAGTGAGAGGGAGAAGCAGGCTCCCCACTGAGCAGGGAGACTGACACAGGGCTCCATCCCAGAACCCTGAGATCATGACCTGAGCTGAAGGCAGATGCTTAACTGACTGAGCCACCCAGGTGCCCCCTACCAAGAAATATTTTATATCTATAATAATGACAATGAAGTTGTTTTCCTCTTTGGCAGCATTTGTAGAGGCTGCAAGATTGGGGACCTTATTCTAGGAGGATAGAGCTTTTTGCTCTAGAAAGTGAGGTGCAACACTTTCCCACTTTCAGGAGCAGCAAGTGTTTTTTGTCCAATCAGTATGACTTTCAGAAGTGTAAGCAGCAGTGGGCTTGGATCACTTGATGGGATTTCTGATCACCTGCGTGGTGTGAGCTTGGGCACTGCTGGGTCTTGGCCTCAGTTCCCTTATGTGTGACATGAGGGGGTTGAGGTCTCTTTTAACTTTGTCCCCTCATGTTTTGTGGCTGCTGTATTTTGTGTTGAGTGTGAAAGCACTGTGTCCTTTATCTGAAGTCTTTGCTCTCCCTTTTCCCCCGTCTTCTCTACCCTTCTCATCTCTGTCCCCATCTCCCTCCTCTGGATCTGCCTCTTCCGTCAGAAGACCTGCCATGTTATCTATACGGTAGAACTGAGGAATTACTTATTCTTAGCAGATGGCATTTTATCATTAAAGCTTCCTTTGAAGGAAGATTGAATTGTGTTTTCATTTGCCTTTTTCAAAAGAGATTTAATGTAAATCTACCTTGATGGAAGAGATGTTCTAAACCCCTAGTTTAGAATGTAAAAAAAGGAAAAGCTTCTTTAAAAAAAATAAAATACCTTCTGTGTCACAGTCCTCACTGAACAAGAATAGAATGCTTTTGACCATATGTTTCTCTTTATTTTGCTAATTAGACTTCTTTGATTTTTGTGCTACCAAAATGCTAATTCCTCTGTTGATAGAACCCAGTATGTCTAGTTTCTAAATTGTAAATGGCCTAAGGGAAATACATGATTTTTCCAACATGACTGATTGAGATGATAATCACATTCTTTTAAACCTTTATGTCTGACGGAATCTAAGCTTCTTGTTTTATAGCTATGGCTTCCAGTGGCTCTTTCTTTCCTTTTACAGTGTGTGTGGAACTTAATTTCCACAGATATGTGTTACAGATAAAGATCAAACAAATAATTTGCTGTGTTTATACATAGTACTTTGATTTTTAGTTTTGTGCTCTGGAAACAACAGTTGAATTCACAATATAATTGGTTATTTTAATGCATTTTGTAAAGCTATTTAAGTGTGATATTTTGATGATATCTTCTAGGGAAAGAAGTTGTGCTAGATTTAATAAAATATTGTGTACTTTTCACACCAAAATGTCAAACTGATAGAACTGACCAAGGAACCACTACTCAGTATGTTACTGTCTGGATAAAAATTTAAAATAAGGCACAATTCACAAATTTGCTTATTATTCGCAGCCATATGCTGCCTTAATAATGTTTTTTTTTTTTTTTGAAATACCAATAATCAAGCAGTGGCCACATGAAATAATTTCTTCTTTTAATACTAGAGACAGTCAGACTGTAATTTTTGCTTTAATCTCCTTTGTCATAAAAAAAATATGCTGCTGGAATACCTTGGATATTGGAAATCGTATCTCAAGCATCTGGCTCCATAACATTCTAAGCCAGGCAGTGTCCTAGCAGCCCCTGTTGCCTGGTGGGGCCTAAGCCAGAGCGCCATCATAAATCAGATGCGGGGCCCAGCAAATAGAGACAAACTTTGCTGGAACAATGAAGGGGGGGCAAATTGGAGGGGGAGATGAACCATGAGAGACTATGGACTCTGAGAAGCAAACTGAGGGTTCCAGAGGGGACGGGGGTGGCGGGATGGGTTAACCTGGTGATGGGTATTAAAGAGGGCACGTACTGCGTGGAGCACTGGGTGTTATGCACAAACAATGAATCATGGAACACTCCATCAAAAACTAATGATGTAATGTATGGT